ATGACCGGGAAGGCGTCGAGCAATGACCGTGAAGTCTGCGGGGAAAGACCGGGAAGGCGTCGAGGAAGGACCGGGAAGAAGACCGGGAAGGTGTCGAGCAGTGACCGGGAAGGCTGCGGGGAAAGAACGGCTGAGGGGGAAAGACCGGGAAGGCGTCGAGCAAAGACCGGGAAGGCGTCGAGCAAAGACCGGGAAGGCCCCGGGAGAAGACCCGGAAGACGTCGAGCAAGGACCGGGAAGGCGTCGAACAAAGACCGGGAAGGCCCCGGGAGAAGACCGGGAAGGCGTCGAGCAATGACCGGGAAGGGGTCGAACAAAGACCGGGAAGAAAGACCGGGGGGCTGCGGGGAAAGACCGGGAAGGCTGCGGGGAGCAAAGACTGGGCAGGCTGCGGGGAAACACCGGAAAGGCGTCGAGCAATGACCGGGCAGGGAAGGCGCCGGGAGAAGACCGCAATGACCGGAAAGGGGTCGAACAAAGACCGGGAAGAAAGACCGGGAGGGCTGCAGGGAAAGACCGGGAAGGCTGCGCAATGACCCGGCAGGCGTGGGCAGGCGTCGAACAAAGACCGGGAAGGCCCCGGGAGAAGACCGGGAAGGCGTCGAGCAATGACCGGCAAGGGGTCGAACAAAGACCGGGAAGAAAGACCGGGAGGGCTGCGGGGAAAGACTGGGAAGGCTGTGGGGAAAGACCGGGAAGGTGTCGAGCAATAACCGGAAGGTTCCGGGAGAAGACCGGGAAGGCGTCGAGGAAGGACCGGGAAGGCGTCGCGCGAAGATCGGGAAGGCCCCGAGGGAAAACCGGGAAAGCGCCTGGAGAAGACAGGGAAGGCGTCGAGGAAGGACCGGGAAGGCCCGGGAGAAGACCGGGACGGTGTCGAGCAATGACCGGCAAGGGGTCGAACAAAGACCGGGAAAAAAAAAAAAAAAAAAAGGCTGGGGGGAAAACCTTGGGCTGAAGCCACATGGCGCTTAGCAGTAAGCACACGCGTGCTCAGCCACCAATCTCCAAGGCTCGCTCGGAACAAAAGGGGCCCAAGAACTTGCTGGCTTGCGCTGCCGGTTTTGCCCCCCTGAACAAAGCCCTTAACCAAACATCTTTTCATGCCGACCTCTCACACTGTGACCGGCCTGGTTGCTCGGTCGGAGCGTCGAAAAAAAAAGGGGGGATAAAAAAGACCGGGAAGGCCCCGGGAGCAGACCGGGAAGGCGTCGAACAATGACCGGGAAAGCGTCGAGCAATGACCGTGAAAACAGAGAAGACCGGGATGGCGTCGAGGGAAGACCGGGAAGGACCCGGGAGAAGACCGGGGAAGGCGTCGAGCGATGACGTCGAGCAATGACCGTGAAGGCAAAAAGGGGAAAGACCGGGAAGGCGTCGAGGAAGGACCGGGAAGGCCCCGGGAGAAGACCGGGAAGGTGTCGAGCAATGACCGGGAAGGCTGCGGGGAAAGACCGGGAAGGCTGGGGGGAAAGACCGGGAAGGCGTCGAGCAAAGACCGGGAAGGCGTCGAGCAAAGACCGGGGAGAAGACCGGAAAGGCGTCGAGCAATGACCGGCAAGGGGTCGAACAAAGACCGGGAAGAAAGACCGGGAGGGCTGCGGGGAAAGACCGGGAAGGCTGCGGGGAAAGACCGGGAAGGTGTCGAGCAATAACCGGAAGGTTCCGGGAGAAGACCGGGAAGGCGTCGAGGAAGGACCGGGAAGGCGTCGAGCAAAGACCGGGAAGGCCGCGAGGGACAACCGGGAAAGCTCCAGGAGAAGACAGGGAAGGCGTCGAGGAAGGACCGGGAAGGCCCGGGAGAAGACCGGGACGGTGTCGAGCAATGACCGGGAAGGCTGCGGGGAAAGACCGGGAAGGCTAGGGGGAAAGACTTGGGCTGAAGCGCACAGTGCGCTTGCAGTAAGCACACTGCGTGCTCAGCACCAATCTCCAAGGCTCTGCTCGGACAGGGCCCAAGACCTTGCTGGCTGCGCTTGCCGGTTGCTCCCCCTGACAAGGCCCTTACCAAACATCTTCATGCCGACATCTCACCTGTGACGCCTGGTCTCGGTCGGAGCGTCGAGGAAAGACCGGGAAGGCCCCGGGAGCAGACCGGGAAGGCGTCCAACCAGTGCGCTTGCAGTAAGCACACTGCGTGCTCAGCACCAATCTCCAAGGCTCTGCTCGGACAGGGCCCAAGACCTTGCTGGCTGCGCTTGCCGGTTGCTCCCCCTGACAAAGCCCTTACCAAACATCTTCATGCCGACCTCTCACCTGTGACGCCTGGTCTCGGTCGGAGCGTCGAGGAAAGACCGGGAAGGCCCCGGGAGCAGACCGGGAAGGCGTCCAACAATGACCGGGAAAGCGTCGAACAATGACCGGGAAAGCGTCGAGCAATGACCGTGAAAACGGAGAAGAGCGGAATGGCGTCGAGGGAAGACCGGGAAGGACCCGGGAGAAGACCGGGGAAGGCGTCGAGCAATGACGTCGAGCAATGACCGTGAAAGACCGGGAAGGCGTCGAGGAAGGACCGGGAAGGCCCCGGGAGAAGACCGGGAAGGTGTCGAGCAATGACCGGGAAGGCTGCGGGGAAAGGCCGGGAAGGCTGGGGGGAAAGACCGGGAAGGCGTCGAGCAAAGACCGGGAAGGCGTCGAGCAAAGACCGGGAAGGCCCCGGGAGAAGACCGGAAAGGCGTCGAGCAATGACCGGCAAGGGGTCGAACAAAGACCGGGAAGAAAGACCGGGAGGGCTGCGGGGAAAGACCGGGAAGGCTGCGGGGAAAGACCGGGAAGGTGTCGAGCAATAACCGGAAGGTTCCGGGAGAAGACCGGGAAGGCGTCGAGGAAGGACCGGGAAGGCGTCGCGCGAAGACCGGGAAGGCCCCGAGGGAAAACCGGGAAAGCCCCAGGAGAAGACAGGGAAGGCGTCGAGGAAGGACCGGGAAGGCCCGGGAGAAGACCGGGACGGTGTCGAGCAATGACCGGGAAGGCTGCGGGGAAAGACCGGGAAGGCTGGGGGGAAAGACTTGGGCTGAAGCGCACAGTGCGCTTGCAGTAAGCACACTGCGTGCTCAGCACCAATCTCCAAGGCTCTGCTCGGACAGGGCCCAAGACCTTGCTGGCTGCGCTTGCCGGTTGCTCCCCCTGACAAAGCCCTTACCAAACATCTTCATGCCGACCTCTCACCCGCTGTGTGCAACCTGAACGCATGTGCGCGCGCATCTACGCAGCACGGTCACTACTAAGTGGACAAACATGGTCACAAATGAGTAGCAGCCTATGTTCAGAAATGAGACAAAACATATGGTCAGATTTGAGTGGAAATTATGGTCAGAAATGAGGTGTGTACCCTTTGGAACTCCAACATGGGGGCTGTCCTTTTGGTTTTCCTTTAAGGGATACCCTGAAAAAGCACACACCCAATTGTATGTTCAATGGACACTCTCCCGATGGCTCAGTTGGAACCTGGTTCTCCGTTACCACACCTACCTGTAGGCCTCAGCCTGTACGGTGCCTTGTCGTACACATCCAGGCTCAGAGGGCTCCTACTGTGTTCACTGTAAATGCGCTGAACACGTGAGGTGATTTTAGCATAACCCAAACATAAAGGACTGACTTCCCATTCTCTTTACCCTCTTCAGGAAGCACTCGTTTGCCCCATATATTTTGGCATAATGTGGAGACGAGGATGCCTGAACAGAATGGAAAGGGAGTGTACAGCTATATTGTCCAGAGTTGCTCCATCTAGCATTTCTCCCAATCTCCATCAAATTTGGCGAGGTCCCTCGGCCCTTCCGTTCAGGCTCGACATGTCTACCCCCAGGAGTTCTCCACTCCAAGGCTTGGTTTGTTACACCTTGACACCCTGTCCCGAGCCATGTCCTGATGAAACCTTACTATTTTGGGCTGCTTCGGGCAATCTTCTCTACCTTTCTGGTTTTGTTCCCACAGCATATCTGAATTTCCCTAAATCGTATAGAGGGAACCTGACCAGAGTTTTGAACCATAAACGGAACTCTCAGCAGCCCCCAACTGCTTTTTCCCAAGGTGTCTGAAAAGCAGTCGTTGGGACCCGGAAGCTGGTGAGGACAGGATGCCTGACGGGAACAGAAGCAAAAGGAGGCCTAATGCTATTTTACCTGTTTGGCCGCCCAGACTTCGAACAAGCAAACGTGTTTCGCCCCCGCAACAAACAATACAAATTTTGCCCCACCCACTCCCAACAAACAAATAATAGCGGAAGACGTATTGGTGACCCAAACAACTAACTGGGTGCTAAAATAGGGCGTCTGGAAAGATTGAACAATCAAACATCCTGTTTTGGTTTTCCTTTGGGCAAATCATCTTTGAGGGTTCCGCCCAAAAAAAGGCATGCCCCTTTGGGTGAACACAATGCGGGCTATTTAGCCTTATAGATCATCCCGTACCGTGTCCTTCTATCCATGGATTTAAGACTCTTAATTCCCTGACCTCGACATACCTCGAGCCGCAGCCGAAGGAAAAGAGGGGCACCTGTTTTGTTGGTTGAATTTAACGCCGCCCCAAGGCAAAAATGAAAACGGAAGCAACCCACTGGGGGCTCCGCTGAGAACCCTGGGAGCCATGAGCCCAGGGTTAACAACAAAACTGACCGCTGCGGCCTTGCAAAACCCAAAACATGTGGACCACAGGGTTGCTACAAAACATCACCCCACGAGGCAACTCACCTTAAGTTGGCCCCTAATTGGGGATGCTTAAAACCGCCCTTTCAGTGTTGCCCAGTGTCCACCCTTGAGAGGAAATAGAACGGAACCTTTTGGGCCCCTGAGCCAAGTACACAATGAGTTTGTCTCAAAATAGGACCAAGTGTTTGGGTGGTTATCCTGTTGATTTCCCTTCAAAACTATCCAACAAGTTGGCACTAACTGAACTTCCAAATGTTACATATGCTGTTGTTTCCGAGTCGGTCGCCTTTTTGGCTGGCTTAAAAAAATCGATTCCCTGCGGCCTCCCGACCCAAAGATCTGAGATCGAGGCGCAGCTCCGGGTACCCCCCGTCCGCCGCTGAGGCGAAGGCGCTGAGCCCCCGCTGGTCCTTGGCCTGCAGATCTGCACGCCGCGCCAGCCTCGGACTAAGGCAGCGACCCGAGAAAGCCCGAGAGACCCATTTGCGTCTGTCTCAAAAAAGGGAGCCCCTTTTTGGATGGTGATTTAGAGAAACTAGAATGAAGCGGATTCACAGGGATCAAAGAATAAAACCCTTCCGCACTTCAAGCAGGAACGGCTGAAGCGAGCGGCAGCAGCGTCGCAACGTGGCCGTTGTCGTTATAGGCTGCATGGTGCAATGCCTCCTTGGAATCCACGTCCTTCCTTGGCTGCACGAACGAAGGGGCCCCAACGAACCTCCAAACATCACTGGTTTCCTTTTGTTGTCCCTTTACAACCTACAAGGGGGCCCAAAAACACCAATTTGGGTTGTGGTTGTCTTTATCACTTTTTTCGGCCGTGTGTTGACTTTCTCTGGGCAAGTCAGCTAAACTAGCGCAAGTACAGAATTCCATGACCCAGGGAGAAAAAAAAAAAAACAAAAAAAACGAGCCATTGATGCATGAAGGTCGTTGTACTGCAGGAATGTTCCAGTTGGCAAGATGTTAAACTCCTTCAGAATCATTCCTTCTGAGTTGGTGAACTTTGTGGGTGTGGGTCTCTTGTTGGCTGTCATGCAAAGGGAGGAAGTCAACTATTTAAGGCTCCCTCATTTTGACACAAACCAATGTTCAACTGCAGGATTTTGCAGGGAAGCATCTACACCCCGGAAATGTGCGTTTTGTTTTGCCTCCAGGCTGGATGCGTGTGAGGCAACAAGTTTGGACAAGTGCGAAAGTTGTTCTCCTAAAAGTATAAAGCACGGATTGTGTTTGCTAGTCGTCATCTTATATCTGCTTCTGCACGCCAAACGGGTCCCTCCCCCCAAACAAAGAATTTAAGCTTCGGCCAAACAAAGCCTGGCTCTACCCCTCCCAAGTTGAGCTAGATTTCAATGGTGATGTTCAATTCGAAACACGCCAAAATGCAGCTGAGAAGCAGAAAACTCCAAAAATCAGAAAGCAGGACTCCCAAAATGTTCTCTTTTGGATGTTCTCAGAAATAACTTACTTGTCTTTCCCATGTTCAATTGCCCAAACCCCCCGAAAGTGCCGCCCAAAAGGCAGTTGGGCGGGGGTTGCTCAGATGGCTGTATGGAAATGGCTGTGTTTAAGCACGTATGATGCGTCGGCAGACTTTCTTGCAATTGACCAGCCCAGCGAACCAACCAGCCAACCAGCCAAGACGCCAAACAAACAAACAAACAAACAAACAAACAAGCGAGCAATAAAGAAAGCAAGCAAACAAAAACAACAGCCACATCCAACAAAACGAGACTTACTTGGCTCAATATGCTCGACTGGTTGGCTGGGTTGGTAGGTCGTTCATTCTTCGTCTCAGCCAGGCGTCAGCCGCACATCTGCTCGGCGCTCCAGCAAAAGCTTCCTGGAATCCGAGGCATACCCTCCCTCCAACAATCATGGAAAATAGGGGGCTTCCCCCAGCAGGACAGTAGTCACTAGTCTTTCAAAAGCCTCCTCTCAGTTTCCATGATTGGAGGAAGGGTAGGTGTCCACCATCTTCAAAGTAATGATCCTCAACAGAAGGACACATGGAAATCTTCCGGTCAAAACTCAGCGGGCATGACTCTAGATCCCATGACCCTTGCAGGGGCACGCACAAAGACCTTGGCAGGATAGACCTGTGGCCAGCGGAAAAGAACAACCAAAAACTCGGGGACCAGACATGGTTTTGGTGAGGCAAAGATTCGCGAGCATGCTGACGGGCCTTCCAACAACTGTGCCAAAAGAAACGGTCATGGATGCGGACATGGCAGACGTGACAGGTAATGCTGAGGATGCTGGGGCCTGCCCCATTGAAATTGAGGAGAGAAAAAGCTGAAAACATGCAAACAGGTGTCAGCCGTTTCCCCGCCTTTAGTATCTTCGTTTTCGCGCCACATTGCAACCTAGCCCCCCCCCCCCCCAACACTTTCAAATGGAGCTTCCCCCAAAGAACTCGAGCTGATGGCTTTCGTGGACATAGGATCGGTCCCCCAAAATGATGCTATTCCTTTCTTCAAGAACCAAACAGGCACACCTTTCTTTATACAGAAATACATTATATGCAAATGATGCACCAATTCGGACCTTTGCCCTGTCCTTTAAGACTACTTTATTGGACCCAAAACTTGCTCGGAACATGTTGCAATCAAAAGGAAGGAAGCCACAAATGCGACCGACGCTCTCGGGACCGAGCCACGCGGTCTCCATGTGCCCATTCTCCGCCGCGGTGTGCAGCGGAGGCTTGCCGTCGTCCAAGCGACGATGCAGGTCCGCCTTCCTGGGATACAAATGCACGTTGTGCCCACTTCCGAACGAGTGGGTTGGCACATGCCAACGTACATTACAGGAATGTGTGACTTTGATTCTGATCTCATTTAGCAATAATCCAATACATACCTCTGCCATGCTAAAATCTGGCAAGAAAAAACTCATCATAGTTCCATTGCAAAACAACATGCTTAACAACCCTACTTTTGCACAAACAAGACCAAGCAGGATCAAATCAAATAGAAACATGTGACTGGGATAACCCAGCTACTCTTTTTGGTGTCCTCTGAATCACTACTTGACTTGTGATATTTGAGCTTGTCGCAATATATTTGGGTGTCAAAATAGGGGGGCCCCGACATTTTCCCAAAATGGGTGGGCTTCCGCCTGGGTACTAGGCAACCCTTCTCTGGGCAAATTACTCTAGTTCAACTGGAAATCAGGGATTCCCCAATGAAGGACTTTCATCATGGGCCGATTCGCTCCTTTTATATACCCGCGAAGCAGTGGAATCGCTCGTTGAACATTTGCCCACGTGAGTGGTTTTCGTTTGAACGAACCTGAAAAGGATATTGAGCCTGAAAGCAACAGTCACCCACAAACCTACCACATCCTACCACCCCATAGTCAGTGCGAAAAACAGTTACAGCTGGGCGAAAGTAGATAGCACAACCTCCCCATTTGGGTTCAACCAATGTTGGTTTGTCTCAAATCTGGATGGCTCAATCCCCCATTGCACAAAGTTTAACTTCTTGCTCCCGCATCTTCATCTTCATGTTCGGTAACATGGCCGGACTATGTCGGACCAAGAACCGGAGGCCAGAAAGAACGAGTCAGAGAACATCATGTTCCAAACAGCCAAAGTCCAAAAAACCAACCAACTAGCAGTCAAAATGAGTCTCGGTGCACATCTGGGGTAATAGGAGAATAATAGGCTCTTTTCATACTTAGCCAAGCCTGAAATATAACATAGTCTTGGAAACCCCAGACCAAACTGTCAAGGCGCCGATCGAGCAATAGGGCCACCAAGGAGGTGAAGCCATAGTCCAAGGCCTCAGTGGACGGGCAAAGGAGACCTAGCATGGCCTACCTGGAGCTTGGCCGAGGAGAGATTTTGAGTTTCCTTTTGGGCGAATCAACACATGTTAGCAGTCAGGGCCGGGGGGAGAGCCCAGGTACAAGGAGAAGGCAGTGCATTTGACCGGAGCGGGTGTGTTCCATAAGATCCGACTCCCCAGGCCGCCTTTCCGCTTCCCCAAAACAAGGCCTTGATAAGGCTTGTATGCAACTCAAGGAAGCCAGGAAAAGAAGGGGTAATTTAACAGGTTTTGGCTGGGGCCCAAGACTTGTTGCTTACCCGTGAAATACCCTCCCCAAAAGCGGGGACGTGAGAAAAAACCCTTCGGTCTCCAGTTGCCGCAAAAAGGCTTTACAAACAAAAGCAAATATCTGGTCCTGTGGATCCAGTTCCTACATAGTAGGCAACCAGGAAACTAATGATGTACAATGTAGAGGCACGATTTTGGTTGCTTATTATGGTGACTTGCTTGGATCGACTGAGTAAACATATCAATGTGCAGTGCTCAAAATGCCTGTGGCTGCTGGCGTCCCCACAATAGACTGCCAGTAGCAGACCTGTGAATGAATGGATCAGCAAAAAACTGGACTTGTTGAGAACCACTAAAATGGTGGCCCGAAAAGTATCAAGCCAGGAAGTGCTGCGGGACTTTTTGTCCGCTCATAAAAAGGTGTATATGGGTGTTTCAAACTTAGCGACCTCTCCAGGTGGTTCGTTTCTTTTGGTTTCCTGTAAAACCATCCCAAAAAGGGTACCCCCTAATTATTTTCAGACAGACCCATACACAACGAACCACCTAAAGCTGCGTTCTTACTCCCTAAAAAGGCCCCTGTAGGAATCGGAATTGGGCGCCGCTCAAAGAACTGCGTGTGCACAACTTCAAGTGTGCCCCCCTTCCAACGAACCTGCCCATACAGGCGGTCTAAGGCAGGCTCGTGTCCGAGCCAGCGCTGCAGCTGCCGCGTGCTCGGCGGCTTCTTCTTGGCCTCGCAGTCTTTTGGCAGTCCAAACTCCAACGCCGATGGTTAAAGTGTATACACATAATTAATTAGGTATATAAGGAATATGCATACATATATATATATATATATGTATATCTATATATGTACACATTAATATCAGTGTTGTGTAGAAATGGTACCTCCCCGCAAGAAAATCAAAAGAATACTGGCTGAGCACATATCCACAAAACAAGCAAGCAAACAAACCAACAAACAAACAAAAACACCAACAAACAGACAAGCAATGACACACGCATAAATGAATAAACACAAAAAACAATAACACACAACTACATAAACGAATAAAAACATACACAACATGTGATAAACTAGATACAAAATAAAAGGTTAAAACACAAACAAGTAAATCAATATATGAATAACTAAGCAAACCAAACAAAATAAATGAATGAATAAGTCAGTATATGAATACAACAACCTCTAACAATAACATAACATACACCAATACATAAACACATAGACACATCAACACAATGAATACATACAAAGGCACACACACACAAAATAATACAAACAACAAAGACAGACACACACCGATAAATGAGCACACAAACTAACACAGAAACAACTAGAACAAACAAAATAATTGCTTCAACCATAAAACAACATCTATAAGCACTCAACAAACAATACTTACATACACACATACAGCAATCGACACATGCATATAGCAAGTATACATACATACATGAATAACTGAAGATAAAGACACGTAAATGAACACAGAAACAAACGAACGCACGATCAAACAAACCAACAAACACATGAATGCATAACTTGACAAACACATGCATAACTAAACACATAAACAACTACTATTCCGTGAGAGGCTTAATAAGTACAAACTGATCACGCTATGTTCATGTTGCTTTCAATAATCTCGCAACCTCACTCCAATCATTTATGCCACTATCAAGCAATATAAACATTTGATTCTTTTGAGTGTGTGGCTTTTGAAGGTTTATGTTTCCAGTGCTGCTTCAAAAGGAAATCAAAGGAACGCAACCCATTTTGAGGTGCTCGCATTTTGAGACCGCCTTGGTCTCAAGGCAAATCTGTAACACAAGCCGTTGATTTAGTTGCTTGGCTCAGGTGCCCAAACGACCCTGAAACCAAAGGTGAGCACCTTGTCGGGCCATGACTCAAAATTGACCAAAAAGGGGAAGGCAAAAGGTCAACAGGTCGGCTTTCACCGGAACAGCCACCCAGGTAGGGACTCTTGAGATCCCGAAGAGGTCGACCATGCGATGAGACTTGTGGTTGGACCATCTAGTTTCTGTTGACGAAGTGAAGGGTGCCCTTGCTTGGCTGTTTCCATCGCTCAAGCAGCTTATAAGCAGGGTACGTCAGTCCCCAACTACCCTTGGTCATGATTTTTGGGGCCGGAACACCCATACACCAGCATCTGGCCATGCTCAAAACTCCGCATCTGTGTGCCGTGTGTGTGTGTGGTTTCCCCTCTTTTGATAAGAACAAATAATTAACACTGATAATAATAATAAAATAATAATACCAACAATAATAGTACTAATACTGATAATAATAATATCAGTAATAATACTAATAATAAAACAACATGCTTTTTGTGGGCTCCCTTACCCGCCGTCCAACATGCACGGAAGTGGACGATGAAATGGCTGTGGAAGACAACCAAACATGACTGTTGACAAAGGAATCATCGAAATGCTTGTCATCGGGACTGAAATTCTTGCCAACCCAAAGTGAAGGGTGCCTGGACCATCGCACGCTTGATTCCCATCTGTCCGGTCTGGGCAACATGAGGCGCTAATCAACAGCGCCCCCCTTAAAGGGGACCCGTTGTGCACCACGACATGAGCAGCGCCCAGGACCCAGTCAATCTATGTCAATCTGTTGGTTATGCCAAGGTTATGCAGATTCACATAAATTCACATAGGCAGTTAATTTCTAATACTTCTCACAAAACCAGGTAGAAACACCTGTTAGAATGGCCAGTGATAGGTTTGGGCGCATGTCAAAGTGACTCCAGCCGCAACTGTACAGAGCTGGAGTCTGCTCCAAGACAAAAATCCCCCCAAGTGATCAGCTTCCCCTCAAGCGAAAGCACGGCAAAAGCACCCGACGATGCTTGGATCTGATGGATCTGCGCCAGTTGCTCTTGGACCTTGCTGCTGTCTCCACCATAATCACGACGGCCCCAAGTCACCACCGTGCCATCGTTCCGGATGGCAGCAAAACTCCAGCCTGTTGCTTGGATCTGCTGGACATGTGTCAGCTTTTCTTGGACCTCTGTGCTGTCTCCTCCGTAGTCTGGACAGCCCCAAGTTACCACCGTGCCATCGTGCCGAAGCGCAGCAAATGCAAATAAATTCGCCTGGATCTGCTCGACGAGCGTTAACTGCTCTTGAACCTGGCTGCTGTCCCCACCATGGCTGGGTCTGCCCCACGTCACCACCGTGCCATCGTTTCGGATGGCAGCGAAGCTCCAGCGTGCTGCCTGGATGTGTCTCACGTGCACCAGCTGATCTTGAACCCCACTGCTGTCTCCTCCATGGTTGGGATCACCCCAAGTCACCACTTTGCCATCATGCCTTATCGCAGCAAAAGCAAAGCGAGTTGCTTGGATCTGCTGGACTTGCGTCAGCTGATCTTGAACCTCGCTGCTGTCTCCTCCATCCGCATGACAGCCCCAAGTCACCACCGTGCCATTGTCCCGGATTGCAGCGAAACTCCAGCATGTTGATTGAATCTGCTGGACTTGCGTCAGCTGTTCTCGGACTTCAGAGCTGTTTCCGCCATAATCATCATGGCCCCAAGTCACCACTTTGCCATCGTGGCGGATGGCGGCAAACGCTTGCTCAGTTGCTTGGATTTGGCGAACTTGCACCAGCTGCTTTTGAACCCAGCTGCTGTCTCCACCCTTCTGAGGACAACCCCAAGTGACCACAGTGCCGTTGTCCCGGATTGCCGCAAATGCACTGCAAGTTGCCTGGATCTGTTGGACTTGCGTCAACTGGTCTTGAACCCATTCGCTGTCGCCACCATATGCACTGTGGCCCCAAGTCACCACAGTGCCATCATCCTGGATCGCAGCAAATGCTTGCTCAGTGGCTTGGATGTTATTGACTCGCGCTACCTCTGGTATTCGACTGTCTCCACCATAATCGGAATGGCCCCAGGTCAGCGCCGTGCCTCTCGGAGCATGCAGGGCAAATGCCCTCTGTGTGGCGGCAAGCTTGCCAAACTGTGCGATCGCATCCACTTTATTACCATCTCCTGCAGTCAATTTGAATTTACTTCTTGGCCACCAAGAAGTGATGTTTGAAACCCGTTCATGTCAATCCCGGAATCAACCAGGTGGGTTTTCTCGAGGGCGTTCCCTGAATCTGAAAGGATTCCGCTTTAAATGGCACACACCCGCAAGGTCAACCAGACTTTGACTCTTCCTGGGTTCCAAATACCCGAGTCATTCAAGCTGCACAAGCGCGACCCCCCATGGCCCTGGGACACCGCTGGGATGTTCTTCACATTTGGATCCCGGTCCTACTCCTGCCTCGCTCAAAGTAGCTCTCGGGTCCAAAGGGCAACCCTTTGACGTGAGGCTCAGAAAGTGGCGCCCCAACTTCCTCTGCGCTGCGGCCTTTAGCTCAGAGACCGTCGCATCTGGTGAGAGCTCTGCATAGGCGCACCGCCCGCTCGGCATGGCAACCTCTATGCGCATGGCGAAGCAACAAATCCGAAGCTGATCTTCCAACCTTGGGCCTCACAGGTGGCATTAAAGGAAATCAGGCCTCGTGCGAAATGACTCCCGCTCCACTCCGCAAGCCGCCGAAGGTATGGGTCGTCCTTGTGGATCCGGATGGAGCAAATCACGATCATTCTCCAGAAGAAAAGAAGCTCGTTATACCCCAGAAACGGTGAGCTCGCTGTGATTGGCCCGGACTCAGAGGCCCACCAACATGATATCGTCGAAATGTTGCTCTACAATCTGGCTGAAGGGGAAACATACTGGTTGTCGGATATGCAATTCATCGAAAAGCGTTGGGGTGTGGCTTGGAACCGCCAAGTTGAATCAGAGTTCTCGGAAACACACACATCAAAGCCAACTTGCAGATGTTCGTACCGTCCGTTTGAACATATTTGACTCAACAACTTCTATCCCGCCTACTTTGGAGTTGGCTCATATATACACCAGAATCTGTAAAAGAGTAGAATAATCTAAATAGGCGATTTCGGGATACCTCAAAACGACATCTAGTCATGATATGAGCAAACTTTTTGGCAAGTGCCCCATACATGTTCAGATGCTGTTTCATATTAAGGAGACCCCACTGACCCGAAAACGGCAGACCTGCCTGCAGCAGATCTTGCACCAGCGCAGTCTGCCCCCGGTGCACTGCGAGCTCCTCGTGATCCCTTCGACCCAACCGAAACGATCCCCAGGGTCTTAGTGGATTTTCATGACAAGAATTCAAGAACAGTTTTGGACGGTTTGAACATCGGAAATTTATTTAAAGGAACAAAGGAAGCAACGTGTCATCACTCCCCAAACCAAAGCGACCAGGAAGACGGGGACTGACAAATTCGCAAGCCAAATTGCAATCTAAAGAGTTGAGGTACTGACAATCCCCAAACATCTGACCTCTCCGTGTCAAATAAACGGACTCCAGTTTGCAGACCAAGATCTCCTGCAGATTTACATGGATACCCAAGAACACATCCATCCTTAGAGGCCCAAATCTGGGCAAAATGGAAACGCCACGTTATTCTATTCTGCTTCTGTTTTGTAGTTAGTCTAATTTTGCATAATATGTTGGGAGCAGACCCAAGAAAGGATCTTCCGGTCGGACACTTAAAGAAACCCCCCCCCCCCCACCCATTGCTTCAGGCGCCCCGTGTGAGAAGTCCAAAGGAAAACCAACGCGCAATTCCCCAAGACTGGTGGTCCACCACAATTCAGTTTTTTTGGATTCCGTTTCATAGTTGGTGAACTTGACAGGAAATGAGATGTTGGGCCCATAGCCCAACTTCCCCCCCTGGATTTCCATAGGGAGAAAACGCATTTATGTTGGTGTCAAAAAAGGGACTTAACAAAAGAGAAGCACCCCACTGAAGGTTTGGGGACCCCCCGGCTCCACCGGCCCATTTGGCTCGCTCGCTCACTCGCTCGCTCCAGGGCAGATCGGTCCAAGAGCCGCCCTTGCGCACCAATGCCCAGCACGTAGTCGTCCAAGTTGCAGGTAGCATGGAGCCTCCCCGACATGTAGAAGGGCCTAAAAACAAGAAAGGGTTTGCGGGTACTTTAAGACCAAATCTTGACGATAGATGATGACAGGGGTAAACAGCTGGTAATTGTTTGGCCAGTATATTGGCCATGGACACTATTGCTTACATTGTTTCAATTGAGTATGGACCCTGAAAATTGGGTAAGCCCCGCATGTCTCCAAATCAACAAAACACGGCTAGTACTATTGTCTGTCGCTCATCCCACAAAAAAGGTTGGTTTGGCCCGCTACATGTATACTTTAATACATATCCATCCATTGCGGGTAACCCGGCGAAGTCATGATGCAACACCTGGTAAACAAACACCTCGCTCCCTAGTATAGTGGTAACTGGACGGAATGCGCCAAAATAGGGTGAACCCAGAAATGGTGGCGTTCCTTTTGGCTGCCTTTAAACCATGGTAAGGGTGACCCTCAGCCAGTGGGTTTGGGCGAGTTCACAAAAACAGAAACACAATACAACAACAGGAGGAGGTTCCCGAACGGTTTTGAGGGTATCATTCTCACCTTGGTTTAGAGGGAAACCAAAAGGCAACCCACCATCTTGAGGGTCCCTATTTTGACACATACCCATTTGAGCGACTCTATAAACCTCCCATGAATCCCTATGTCGTATCAAGTTGCTTACGCGCAAGCTTGCGCTTTCCTTACGCGACCCATGTTTTAGCTTGCGCGGCAGTCAGACAGCATGTAGAGCTTACGCATCGCATACGCGTCGGCGTTTTAAGCGTTTCCCCTCAAGAATTGCTTACGCGGGCTTCTTTTCCCGTGCAGCCGCCAGAACTGTTGAAGATGATGTGGATGACTGTGTGGAAGAGATGACGAAGATTTACGCTCGCGAGCTTCAGCAGCTTGGCGTTGTTGTTTTTGCTGCAAATCAAGAAACAGGTTTTTGCGGTAGCGGCATCCATCACAAGGGCTAGCGGGCAGCTGAGCTAGGCGAGCTTGCGCGAACCTTACGCGCCTGCTTACGCGAGCTTACGCGCCCGCGCCCCTCTAGTTTTCCTAAATCAGCGGCTACTGAAGCCTTTATTTGTTGTAATGGAGGTTGCGACAGCACCTAGCATGAGCCCCAAGAGCTCCCAATCAAAGTTCTGCTGCTTTGGTTGCTTTTTTTTTCTAGTGGTGCGCACATGCGGTCTTAGACGTCTTCCTGCAGCCGAAGCCCTCCGGGCAAGTTGCCAAGCTCGACTAGGTTGCAACAGCACAAGCCACCAAAAAACGCATAAGCACATGTGGGACAACTCTTCCGAGCATGCTTACAAAGCTTACCAAGCAATCACGAAGAAGAGCTTACGCAGGTGCTTACGCAACATGTTTCCCCAAAAAGTGCTTACGCCTGCTTGCGCCGTGCAGGCGTTTGCTTACGCGGGGCCTTGTTATGACACAACTCTTGCTTGGCATGTAACGGGGGGTTTTTAGAGCTGCTCATTTGTTGATTGGAAGGTGCACCATTTCCCTTTCAGACCAACAGGGCGAATGCACATCTACAAATCTCTCGCCAATGGACAATATAGTATGGTGTTTGCAAATTGCCTTTAATCAGGAAACCATATACACGAGAAACTAAAACACTTGGTCAGTGTTCAACCCCACACCGCTGTGGATGGACAAATTCCTGCACCACCTAGGATAGATGAAACTCTACACATACAGGGATAAGCTACCAACGGGTGCAGAATTGTATCCATCCGCGGTGGGATGTAAATTTACTTCTGAACATCTTTTTAGTCAAGGGACTAGATGTCTCATATGGTACCAAACATCGATCCAGTATCTTAGTGGCTCCTTAATTTGCCCAAGATCCAATCGCCTTTGCATGACCACAATCAACCTTCGTCCATTCTTGTAACAATGTAGCAGGTAGCAGGACCAAATCAAAGCCAGGGTCAGCTCAGCCCGTATCTGTTTGGATTGTGCGCAGTTAAGTGGCTGTAGCGGTTCTGCTCAGAATCTGATGGCAAGTAACGTCAACCCAGGGCTCCGTTTCGGGGCGCAACAGGAGCTCCTAAAAGAGGAGGGGCACGCCTCAAAGCAAAGTTGGACGCGTGCATGTGGGGCATGAGCAGGGGCTTCGACGCGAAGAGATGTTTTGGCACGCAACCGGCTCCGTCGAAACACAGGCCCTTTTGAGGGGGCAAGGAGGGAGGCACGGTCAAGCAACATGGGGCGCCTGCATACAGGGCACGACAGCGCCCAAAAAAGTTCTTGCAAAGGTAGACGGGGGCTTCCCAAAACTGAGGGAGGGAACTATATGCGGGCAGGGCAAGGGTCTTATTTTGAGAGGGACAATTTGTGCGTAGGACTTTTCGAACTGACTTTGAACTTCTACCAACATGATCGTAAAGGTTCATACATGCCTTACTACAACTCCATGGCACCTTTAAACTTCCCCGATCCATTGTTGAAGATAATAATCCCAGAAGACAAAGATCGGACGGCACGTAGCTAGACATTTAAAATGGCCAATGGACATTGGCCAAATGGGCGCTGTGAGAACCGCTCGCAGCCATCGCCTTAATCCAAAGTAGATGACCTCCCCTGGCTGCTGCACGCAGAAGGTTAGGCCCTCTGGAGCGCCCTCCTGAGCAATCAACATCAGGTAAAGTGGTCCCAAAATTGCGCTCCCTATCTTCCCCCTGTGAACATCACCGGCTAAACGGAACTTTGAAGTGGCCCAAAAGGGGACATACAGGGAACTCTGCAAACACATGTAAAGAATCAAAATTGCGGAGATCCTGAGACTGTGCCCTGCCACTCCTACCCAGGTTTTGATTGTCTACCGGCAGCTTGGCGGCATGCCTCAAACATGTCTCCTTGCGGACAAGCCTTGGGTTTGGGAATCGATTCCCGCAAAGTTGCCCAGACTCCCAGCGGGGAGGAACAAATGCACCTTTTTGGTCGTTGATTTGAGACCCCGCTTGAAAACAGAACAACAGGACATGCCGGCTTTCTTCTGAGCAGCGAAGCGACCAAAGCAACTCTCAGAATCCGCCATCCACCGCAAGAAAGCAATGGGTCATTTGATCCCAGGAGCTAGAACATTGCTCGCCTTTGGTCAGCTCGGGTGTCGACTTGGCAAATACAATTTGTCAAGCTGCAGGGAAGAACCAACCAAAACTGGCAACTTGCGGGAATTTGAGCTCAGCAAACACACGGAGCTGTCTCCAAACAAAAGAAGCAACTTTTGAATCGCGAACGCCCTGTGTTGCCCCATCATACCCTTTCGGTGCCCAATATCCAACAAAACGACGCCCACATGGCAGCCCGGCTAAGCGCGACGCCCACACCCCACACCCCACCGCATATCCTCCAGCCACTGGCAGGGGTGCCGCGTGTTGGCCTGCTCTTCGCCTGAAAGGAACATTCCCTGAACTTCACAAGAAAAAAAAGGGAACATGGTCCCTTGCAAGTATATAAATGGAAGCACGTGGGCTGGCCACAAGCTAAGGTTACATGGTAGCAAGGCGTATTAGTCTCTAGGTGATACAGAATGGTTTCCCTCAACTATGTATTCAGGGTACATTAAATAAAGCAACAAACACATGCAAAACTACAAAGGGGAATGCAGTCAAGAAGCATCCGCAAGAAATCAAGGGTTTTGGTCGTAGTGCCCACAATAGCGCCCGCCGCGGAATGGTTCCAATTGATCCCCCAGTGGCCATGGAAAAAAACATCCTCGAAAAAGTACAAAACGGGGATTCTTCGCAAAAGTGCTACTTGGGGCGTCAGAATCGATCAACCCACAGACCCGAAGTGGGCCTTGCCGATTCCACCCTGTTCACCACAAAAGCGTGCCGTGTTCGAGGGGACGAACCATCTTCTCACATGCATGTGAAAAACGAAAAGGAAGGACAACCATTCATTTCGGAGGTTTCCTAGCATATTGAAAGAGCAACAACTCGCTCTGAATATGACATATTCTGGAAAGTGTCTGCGTGCTGTCCCTTAGGCTTCCCTCAGTTGCTCTGTGGAATAAAACCAGTCCAAACAAGGGCCATCTATTTCCATCCACCATAAGCTAAAAAGGACACCTGGCGGGAAGCAACCCAGCTACAAAATTGCCTTTTCGGGAATCGGGGGGCGCAATTCATGTGGCCAGGTCGCTGAGGAGCTCCCTGGACGGCTCCTCCCCCGCAATCCACCAAGCCTCCGTTCGAGGCGCGCGAAAGCGGCGAGGTGGGACAATTCATCTGAGAGAATTGACTAGGAACTTTTAGCCCTGGCTCGGGCTTAAGGTTTGGCTGGTTGGTTGGCTGGTTGGTTGGCTGGTTGGTTGGTCGGTTTGTTGGTTGGTAAAGAGCCAAACAAGAAAATCATGTGTGTTTAGAATCACTAGGGAGATTCAGATAGATGTGTCTCAAAATAGGATATGGCTTACCCAAAAACCACATAGGCAAATGCAAGTCTGAAGGCTTTGAGTTGAATGAGTGAGTTGGGAGCATGCTTGCGGGAAATAACCCTTTCTGCGATGCCAAATGGGACTCGCATCACTATGACTACCCATTGCACTCTTAACAGGATTCCCTTTATGTTGGCTCATACTGCCCCCAAGGCACTTCCCCAGGAAGTAGAAATATAAATCATGTGGCTAGAGAAGGGGCATAACACGCAAGGTGAGGTTTGCACAAAGACGAGCCAAACAAACCCAACTATTGAACACGCTAGGCTCCTCACAAGTCTGGTCGACAATTGCTCCGCACGAGAAACCGCCAGGAGCCTTTCTGCCGTGCAGCAGAGCCAGCCACGTCTCCTAGCGCACGGGGGAACCTGCAAACATCGTCCCAAGAAGCTCGCGGCAAGTGAGCTCCCCGAAGCCCGAGCTGGCTGTTGGTTCTACCAACATGCCCATTGAGGCTTACCCCAATAAAACCAGGTGGTAGAACCGACCAATTCCGAAAATGGCCGCTAGGGGGTTTAGGCGCAGCTCAAGCAATGTTCGGGTTCTCCTGTAAGGAATCACTTTTGAAGGAGGGGATTGGCCTGACGTCAACAAAACTCAGTGAGTGAGTGGTCGTTCCAAAAGGTGATGCCTAAGCCAGCCAAGACAGAAGTATCATGAGCTGTGTTGTTGGGACACTCCGGAAGAGAGGCTTTCCCTTCGCGTTGGTATTCTTCTTGTGCTCCAACTGGTTGCTTCCAGAAGCTGGCTTCCTCTTTTACATTTGCTCGCGTACCCAAATAAAACATGTTCAGACACATCCCGAACACCCAGATTGGTGCCATGAATACTCCTGCACCAAGGTCTCCCAGCTCTCTTTGGAAATGTTCTCAAGATGCATCCATGGAAATCCCAAAAGCGTCAATAGCGGACATAGGGTGGCTTGGGCTCCCAGGGAGCCCTTGGACCGAAAAGGGCTGAAGTCAGATACCCTGGAGATTGGAATCCAGCAAAACCCGATCCGTGTTTAGAGGAATCTGGGGAACCCTTTGTTGGGTCCCATGTTCATTTGCAGGAGAGTAACATGGCCACCTGATTCCATTTCAATACACAGCTTCTTTTGAATTTGCCAAACTTCACAATTCAAGACTATGCTGAAATTTGTGTTTTTGATGCACCACTCAAGTCCAGTTCTGGACACACATGCGGAAAACAACAAACGGTGCTGATCTCCTTCCAAACAAACAACAAACACACACACACACAACACAACAAAGACAAGCACAACAAAGGCAAACACAACAAGTGCTAAGACTCGATACTAGATCGTTTCGTCTCGGCATGTCTGGGCTATGTCTCCCCAAATGTCGCTTATACCCAATTGTACCACAGCTTTGCCCCAACGGCAAATAACATCTTTTTAGATTATGGCCCACATTGAAGCGAACCTCAAAACGTCAAACAATTTCAAAAGAAATCACAGAGAAGGCGGACACGTCCAGCCAGAGCGATTTCGCGTGTCCGCAACCCGAAAGGATTGAGCTTTTTACCTAGACCCCTCAACTAACCTTATTGCCCCATGGTTCTGGGCTTCCAATTCAGGGGTTAGTTAGGGAAACCGAAAGGACACCAATTCATTTCCAAGGTCCCCATTTTGACACGTACCTGGAGTCTCCATGACCCTCAAACAGATTGAATCATCTTCCAAATAAGGGGTCATCACCCCCTTTTAAACGGACTCCGTAGCCATGAGCTCATTTGGCCCCGCTTTGGCTTCGAAACACCCGTGCCTCGTGGGAGTGAAGTTGGGTGCCGGAAGCGGAGGACATGGCGACCTGCAGGGTGGGCCTCTTGTCGAAGTCCACCTCAGGTCACAGAAGCTGGGGCCAACAGATCTCACCGGACCCCTATTCGGCTGCCCCTTTGGGGCCTAGAAATAAAAGACTAAGCTTTTGGAGCCGACTAAATATGGACCAAGTCAAAGGGAACCGAAAAGTTGAAAGTTTTGAACAAACGAGTGTTTGGTGGTATGGTCTACCCTCCCCAATTGAGAGCCATTTAATTTCATTCAACCCTCCTAGCAGTTTTCAGCTTGTGGTTGAGACCGGTGGATTGGAGGTTGGGTGGCTTCCCATTTTCCGTCTACAACTGGTGGTTTGGAGGTTATTCCTCCACAACTAGGGGTGCCCAAAAATATTCTTGTGTGTGTTTCTTTGCGAGGGTACCCTTTTAAGGTTGGTTGAAAGGGCACACAAAGGAATGCCGTAAACAAATATGGTATTGAAATTGTCTACGCAAATGATAAAACACATGATGATAAGAAAAGGCCTTCATCTACCCGAGCTTGAGTGCGGCTTGCCTCAGAACCCAAAAGCACAGACCCGAGCTGACTTGACAACTTTTACCTTTTTTCTGGGCACCGCTAAAAAATGTACACCTTTCTGGTGTTAATTGCTGTTTATGTGTATATGAGCAACTTGCGAAGCCTCTTGTGTGGCCAAAGGGCATCGAGTAGAGGTTACCGTTTTAAAACCCTATCGTTTTACACGGCTTTGTGTATTTCACCGTTTCACGCGAATTCGAAGTACACTTTGCCAGCTGAGAAGTCGAAACTGTCAGTACAAGTGAAGAAAAGGAAGTACACTTGGGAATCTCCGGCTCGAAAGTCGCGACTTTTCAGTACAAGTGTAGTAAAGGAAATACACTTTGGCAGCTCCCGCTCGAAAGTGGCAACTATTCAGTACACTTTGGCAGCTCTGGCTCGAAAGTCGCAACTTTTCAGTACAAGTGTAGTAGAGAGGAGACTCACTCAGCTGCTCATTTCATTACACAAGGGTAGCCAAACATGTTGAGTTGGGTTGTTGTTGTTGTTGTTGTTGTTGTTGTTGTTGTTGTTGTTGTTGTTGTTGTTGTTGTTGTTGTTGTTGTTGTTGTTGTTGTTGTTGTTGTTGTTGTTGTTGTTGTTGTTGTTGTTGTTGTTGTTGTTGTTGTTGTTGTTGTTGTTGTTGTTGTTGTTGTTGTTGTTGTTGTTGTTGTTGTTGTTGTTGTTGTTGTTGTTGTTGTTGTTGTTGTTGTTGTTGTTGTTGTTGTTGTTGTTGTTGTTGTTGTTGTTGTTGTTGTTGTTGTTGTTGTTGTTGTTGTTGTTGTTGTTGTTGTTTTTCTGCAACCCTATTGTGTCGCATGTTGTTGACGCGTCCTACTGCACGTGTTGGTATGTCATGCCCAGCCCTTTACATATTGGTCTTCCAGAGGTTTTGCTACTGTATATTGTGGTATTGTTGTTATTTCTGTTTTCCGGGCGGAGGTTGTTTGAGGCCAAAACTCAACCCTTCGCGGATCAATATTTCTATACGTATTGATACTGGTTTAAACATTATTAAGATGACCAATGTTTGAACAGTCACAGCAACGTTGATGTTAGACCCCCAATTGGACATTAGGTCCTCTATTGCGCAATTTTTTCGCATTTCAGGATCCTGTGACTGGTTTGGGGTCCTCTATTGTGGCACTTGTTTGCCGGAAAAAAAAGGAAATTCACCCGGGCAAAAGCACTTGGCAAACAAGTTGGGCAAACAAATCCGAGCAAACAATAGGACATCCTTGTTTTGAAGTGGTCCCCAAAACATCACATTTAAGATATCTTCTTTACACAACAGTACGGGCAAACAGTCACACAAAGGGGGGTGCCCACAAGAGGCCCTGATCCTCTTTAATGTGACTGTTTTGGGACGGGCTCTTCCCAGCTAGATTAGTCTTGGCAATACTGAAGTAAGTTGGCGGAAATCTGAGAGTAAGTCTCGGCAATACTGAATTTAGTTTTGGCAATACTGAAGTAAGTACTAGCAAGTCAAAGTCCCACCCAGACCCCCATGACAATTTTGACTAAAGAGGGTCCCGCCGCTGACTGGTTCCACTGTTCTAGGGAGGGGGAGCACAGTAAAGAGGGTCCAACGTTAACATATAACTAGGGAACATGGCATTTACTAATGCACTATAGCCGTCATACACTTATACACAATACATTCGCAAACAAACTACATGCTACCCGCAGAAATGCAGCTCTGGCAATCGGCGTGTTGTTTGCGGTGTACATATCTTTCAATAGTGATAAAAGAAGTCTGACCGCACAAACAATTACGACATTCCTAGAAAATGGGCCAATTGTAACCCGTTGTACCCATATGTCTATTTCAGCTTACTATACTAACTTTGGATGTATGCCTGACAAAATGGTGGGCTCGCCCCAAAGGGTTGTCCCACTAACGAAAGTTGCAAGGGCGCAGGTCCAATGCCCCTTCAGATGTTTCAGCAACTGAGATCCAACACCAAAACTCAGGACCCGTACACCCAAAATTGTTGTGTTCTGACTTCGTACCAAATTTCGTCTATCATAACATTAAAAAACATCTTTGGAAGAGACCCCAGATAATTGGTCCCCAGAAGGTTCGGGTTGGGGCCATTCCCCAATAACCCCCCAGGCGTTTGGGGCTTTGAACATGGACCTCACTCGAGAAGCGAACGAAGTCAACACCCAAGCTTTGACCAAGACGCGTTGACAATGGGTTTCAAAATGGACGTCAAGCTTTAAAAATATGGGTGTCTTCTTTGGATCTGCTTCTTTGATGGAAGGGCACGGACCGAAGACTCGTCAATTCCGATTTCTGATAAATGCAGGTGCTCTATTGAACCTGCTAAGCTTATTTGGCCATGAATGTTCAGAGTTGGAACCACCTCAAAAGTGGTAGTTGGACACGTTTCTCCATGAATTCCGACTTTCTTCTCCCCACCTGCATGATGTCCAACAAAGGGTCCCTGATCAAACGTCACACTCATTTGGGATAGAAGCCCAAAGCAAAGTCAAACCACGTGACTCTCACCACTTGCTTCCTGCAAAAATGAAACGGGAAGCTTCCCAGGGTCCCACTAGGGCACCTTTCTTTGAGTTCAATTGGAAGCTCTGAAGAAAGCTTGAAGGGGCACATGCAGTGGTTGTTTGGTCGTCGAGGGCCCCAAAAGGGGCAACGTGGAGGTCTGGCTGACTTGGCAAACAATTTTCCCCGGGGTTCTGTGGACTTCTGACAAACTATGGAGAGGGGCTATCCCTGCATAAGCCCTCCCAACGCAAGTTCATCACTACGGTATGCTATATTGATTCAAGGCAGAAAGGCAGCCATTGCGGCCGAAAAAAGTGCCTAATAATGACCATTAGGGGCCGTTAAGGACTGGCGTTGAATTAGTATGTCACAGTAGGTAACCACGAAAAGCACCTGGCAACTGGATCCACCGGGCCTACTAAGGCCTTGTGTGGGATATTGCCCCAAAGTATTTGAGGTGATTTCCCACTTTGAAGTAGTCTGAGGGTCTAGATCTCGTTTTGGAAGGATCCAACATTGCAGTCTCATGTCCAATTTGAGGGTTCTCATTTACACGATACATCCCGTTGTGGGAAGTTTGCTTTTAGGTTGCCAGTTTCGAGAAAAAACCGAGAGAGCGGGAAGGCGCTAGCTTGAATATGCTGTTTTGAAGGTCCGAAAAAGGTGTGTCAACATAGGGTGACCCGCAACTGGTGGTTTTCTTCCAAAAGCAATACACACACGAACAAACAAACCACACACACACACACATGCCGGGTTGTCTCAAAACGGGGCAACCCAAAAAATGCTGGGGTTCCTTTTGGTTGCCCTTCAAACCCAGAAGAAGGATCAGGGACTCTCAAACTACACAAAAAGGAATCACCTCAGTATTTTGGGTTGCAATATCAACCGTTTAACAAAGCGCTTCACTTCCTGAGAGCATTGACCTAAAAAGTCCAGGAACTTTGTTTACCACCCCGTGTCCGAGGCGCCAAGATCTCGGGAAAGATCTTGGCGCGATCTGTGCAGTGCCACCCAGCCACTACCGGCTCCGAGCAGTTGCCCTGCGGAAAAACAACACGCGCAGCCATAAAATGGTGGTTGGCTTCCTTTTGGACCTTCTCGTTCCGTCTGAAAACTCCTTTAATTGCAAAATTCACCAACTGTTTGAAGAAGGCGTATACAAGAGGTCGATTCACCCGTGCCCAAATCGGCAGAAGATACAGAGAACCCCATCCATCCAGGACCCGTCTCAATCCAGCCAAACGATTGGTGAAGAGAATGGGGATTCAGAATAACAGGAAACCAACGACCAAGGGAAAACAGCGCTCAAACAACCAACAAACAATCCCTGGTAGAAACTGGAATTCCCTAGATTGCGATTTCGACAACATAATTACACTGAAACCATTTGAATGTGTCTTCGAGAAACCACAAGGAGCCCAACAATTTCTTGGGGGGCAACAAAACACACACACAAATGTTCTGAGTCAATGTCTCAGAAAACCTCCTTTTGGTTCTGAAGAGAAACCAAGACAATGCAAGCCGAATCGTCCAAATAGGGTCGTGTGTGTGCGTTTGTGTGTTTGTGTTGAAGAACTTGCCAAGGCTCAGAGCAAATTTGGTGCCTGGGATTGCATTGGGGAATAATCTGAAAGAGTCAGGGAAAATCTTGAAGCCCGGAACGGGGTGAAACTGTACGTGGGTCCCCACAATAAAGGCTTAAAACTGGCTCAGTAAGCCTTAAGGCCATATTTGAGCAATACCCAAAGGACCCCCAGTATGGTTCATAAGAAGAAAGCTCCCGCTCCATCTAGCCGGGCGCCCGAGAGAGTTCAGCACAAGTTTCCATTTGTTTCATGCGATTGTCAAAATATGGGTGTTGCCCCAACCTTGTGGTTTTCCTGTAGGTTCCAAGCCAACCTGAAAAGAGTACCCTCCAAATACACACCCACACATACACACACGCACACACGTGTGCTAGTGAGCAACACTCAGTTAGCATGCAGCATACCCAAACAACGGCAGAGCTGGCATTTATTTTTGGAGATGCGCCAGGAAACGGGTGGGAAACCCCCCCAAAAGTGATGAATCCCAACTAAAAGGGGACAACCACAATGAATCAAACAAAGGGGGTAACTATTAATCCAAGGTCCCCATTGCACGTTTAACTAACATATTGGGTGGCCTATCTTAGTATGTGGCACAATGGGTACCCAGAAGTCAAAACTGCCTGTCATTGTAGGGCCCGTCATTGTAGGGCCGACCCCTAAGGAGTAAGTAGCCAATCCAACCAGAATGAGCAAAGTTCAAGCAAGCGACCTATGTTAGTGAGTTCGCTTGTCCCCCAAGCCTGGAGATTCCTCTGACACCAAGGGTCAGGGAGTTTAGGCCGGCTTAGACCAGCAAGGGTGGAAACTCCCCCATTTCTGGCCCACTACTGGTATTGCAGCGATGCTTCGCCCTCCTTTTGACCATCGTGCTGTTTGCTTGCTGTGAGTCACCCTGTGGAACTTTGAATTGCAAGTCGCAAGCCATGAATATTGATTTCCCGTGCCTTTCCGCGAACTTGGGTCGTAAGCAGACTCTGCCAATCAAGGCCACAAACTTGTTCTGCGCACCCGCACTTGGGTTGGAACGCTTCCAACCAGTCAATGAGGTCCACCAGCGTGGTGTCGAACTTTCTGTGGGCGCTGACTGACACGGTTCGTTTAGCATGAAGTGCAGCAAGCAGCCAACACGCGCCACAGGCATGCTGCTTGCAGTCTCACACTCTTGCAGTCTTTGCGCAGCTTACAATTTACAGTTTGCGCGGCTGCCTACCCACAGCGGCAGGGAATTGTGGGACGTGCTAGAATGGGGGCGACCCGCTAATAGTAAACTGTTTGGCGCTAAATGAAAATAGAGAAGCCCAGAAAGGCAAAAGGGCAAGGTGAAGTCCGGTTGCTTCTCCGCAGATTGACATGGAACCCAACCACACCACCTTTTGGATTCCATGCGAGAACATGCAGCGAAAGTAAGTCCAGGGGGGAAGCGACAGGTATCCGACTTCGAAGTAAACTCGAAGCCATCGCTAAACGGATCGCTGGCCTCGGGGCCCCAGAAAGTCTCCGAGACGATCTGGTGCGTGTAGCCTCAGACCCATTCTCACTTGACCCTTTGGGACCTAGAAATTGGTTAACCTTTAAGGACCGGTACCAAAAGTGGTTGCCAGGAGAAAACCAAAAGGACAACAAGGTTGGCTTTTGGGCAAGCGAGACTTGGGGGCTGGCCACCTGGGCTATAACCTACTGACAGGGTTAAGTCCACTGAGTGGGGGGGGACCTATACGTGGGTGAAAAACCAAGGCTGCCAACGACTTACTAAGTTGGCCGAGCTTAGTAGCGACCCGGTGACCCTGGTCCATAGGATGGGCAAAACAAATTGCACGCACACTACTCTGCTTGTGAAACACACCGGAGTCGGACATGGAAAAAACACACACACACTGTTCAATAATATGACAAAGTACATGTGTGTGTGTCACGCAGCATCATCATTAATGTGTTCAATGGGTAGGAAAGCCTGAAACAAACATATCGGATTGTGCCTCAATTTAGGCGCCTCTTTGAACAGGGGCCCGCTGCAAAATGGTGCCCAGCAGCCTTTGGGGTGGTTGCAGCTTTTAAATTCAAATGACCAAATGGGATTGTCTCAAAACAGGCGAACCCAAACAAAAAGGATTTCTGTCTCCTTTTGGTCTCCCTCTACAACAACCACCAAATACAGAGCGCTGAGCCTCAATAAAACAACACACCCAGACCGGCTGATTGTTCGTTTGCGCAAAAAACAACTGCCCGGCCTTTGGCGACCAGATTCTTCGCGGTGTCATTCCTTGGCTCGGTTACCGTTCAGGCCGAGCGACCCAGGTACCCGTTTGCAAGTGACACAGAATTTGATCCAGTTGCAAGCCCCAAAAAGGAAGCGAGAACCAACATGCAAAACACCCAGAGCTTTCGATATCCTCACCAACCGTCGTCCCTGGATCCAAGAAATAACTTACAACATGAATTAGGTATATACAACGAAAGACCCGAAATGGAATCATTTCTTCTTGGCGGCAGGTTGCAGAATCTCCAAACCAGCAGCTACACACACACAGACACTGGAACGGAGAAACTGCCTTAAGGTGACCCCAACTTACAGCCCCAAACGCATCGGATGCCTTGCGGTTGAGGATGCAACTGGCACAGTTCCCAACTTTGGTTTAGTCATACCCTTCTCTTACTCGCATAATAGATTCCCATGTTAAATCCCGGGACCCCCGGGTTGATTAACTTTATTCTCTGGGAAAACATGTTTAGAGATCAGGAGGTTTCCACTGCGGTCCTCGTCCAAATGGGGGCCCACCTTTGCCGGGCACAAGACCACCAACATCGTAATCTGCCGAGCAAGGAACTTTTATGAAATTGCTCAGGGCACGTTGTTGGCGTTGTTAATTCAACTGTGAAAGGCGAAACTGAAATGACATTCTTTCTATCCGAGCTTGCATTAAGACAAGGACAGTGCTGAAAATACCACCCCCCCCCCCAATAAGGGCTGTTGGAAGTTTAGCATTGATTTAGCATTGGGTATAATGCCGGCCCCAACGCAAATGCCTCTCCCAGTTATTCTCAAGGGGCTCTCTTGAGTGGGGATGCGAGCAAGTGATAAGATTCCAACTTGTTCAGATAGACTTAAACCCAGGGCAACTCAACTCTTGGGTTGGCCAACAACCTGCCATCCAGCGACGCGCTCTGCGCAAAGGTCGCGAGGCGCCGTTCGGGGGTGGCCTCGGGGCGATCCCAGCGCCCGGTGCCGGTTGCAATGAGGCGGTCTCCTCACGCGAAATGAGGAGACGAGCCGTGCAACTCACCAACGGCGCAACGGCATGGCGCTAAAAGTGGGGTGTGCCTTTGTTTTGAGGCTGGTACGTTTGTAGGGTTTGGTCGGCAGGGAAACCGAAAGGAATCCACTCATTTGGAAGGGTCCTGTATATTAAGACACGCCCAAGGGTAATTAATCCTGTCTGGCGGTCAAGACTTGCAGCGACGGACATGAACCAAAAAAAGTGTTCTGTTTTTGTCAGTGCGAAATTAGAGTCCTCAAGCCATAGACTAGATATGTTGAGCGAACCTCAGAGATTTTCCGCCGACCCCTCGCCAAAGAGGGGAGGCGCACGGGAGGGGTGGCTGGCGGATGAGGGCAGCCGAAGATTCATCATCAGCAGCATCATCATGATGCTCATCATCATCATCATCATCATCATCATCATCATCATCTTCGTCCTTATCCTTGTTGATTTACGTTTCAAGCGCTGCGGTAGATGCAGGGGATGCGTAGTCATGATTATCATTATGACTCCTGGTGATGCCAGGGATGCGTAGCCATGGTTGTCACCATGGCTGCCATCAAGAGCATCATAACCATCATTGCTGCTGGGGATGGGTAGTCATCCCTGTTAACAGCTTTGATGCGTAGAGATGATTCATCATCACCGTCATCATCGTCATCATCATCATCATCATCATCAGCGTCATCATCATCATCATGGTGCTCATCATCATCATCCTCATCATCGTCGTTCTTATCTTTTGGTATATGCCGGATGCCTAGTGATGATTCATCATCATCATCATCGTTGTCCTTATCTTTTGATATACGCCAGATGCCTAGTGATGATTCATCATCATCATCATCATCATCATCATCATCATCATCATCATCATCATAGACCCGACTTGAGATGTACGGGATGCGTAGTCATGATTGATGCTGGGGATGCATAGTGATAATTATCATCGTGGCTGTCAGCATCATCATCAACCATGGACAACTTTGCTTTGTCCATCATCCTCATCATCATCCTCATCATCATCCATCATCATCATCATCCTTCATCATCCTCATCACCCATCTTAACACCATTGTCATCGTGATGACCATCAACATCGCCATCATTGCTCGTCATCCTTCATCATCCTCGTCATCCATCATCATCCAGCATCATCTGCGCTGGGTCCTGCTTGGAAAATTTTATCCTTGCAGGATCCTGTATAACATGACAAGTTTGTCCACGCAGGATTTTGTCCATCATCATCATTGTCATCATTGTCATCATCAACATCATCGTCCATCATCGTCCATGATCGAGTTCACATAGAATCCTGCTCCATTTCAGCCATCTGGGGTCGGCGGCGCTGGGCTACCACTTATATCCGGCTACGCCTCCTAGGGTAGCATGTCGCCGCTAGGCGATTTCTCTGCTATCTTTAGCTATGGGGGCTGCACCCGTGTGCCGCCGACCCATACGTTGCCTAAATCCGGCACCTCGCTTGCGGTTTTGCTTGCCCATCGCAAAACATTGCGTGTGTGCCTTGTTTAGGCCGTGTGGCTGACATCATCAGGGTGTGGGTTGGGCTTGGGTGATGCTTCAGCGGGGCTTGGTCTGCATCATCATCGAGACTTCCTTCCAAAAAGCCTCTCAACCCGTCATGCACTGCTTTTTAGAAGGTACCGAAGGGATATAAACAAGGCTCATTTTCGCGCATTTTGGTGTCAAGCGCTGCCCGGCATGCCGGCGATGCTGGGCCCTAGCTCTACAAGCGCCGTAAATACCGTCAAAAAGCGCATGCTGAGCGTTGGGCTTTTGTTCTGTCCGTTTTGCTTTTGTTGTGGCTGGCTCGTGTGCTGCGCGGTCCTTACCTTTTTCCCGTTGGTGTTGGGCCCTTTTGGCGCGTGCGCGCGCGCGACCCCCGCTGCTATTTGCTTTGTTGCGTTTGCGTTTCCGGGCTGGCTTGCGAGATGTTCTTTTTCGGCTGCTCGTTCTGGGGCCTCTGGGGCGCGCGCGCGCGACCACATGTAACCCTTCTGGGTTGGGGCCCGGCTGGGGCCCAGAAAGCTGGCATCCCCGGCATCATCTGGGGCTGGAGTGGGCAACATGCATAACTTAACCAGCCATATCATAGCACAGGATACGGTTCTCATTTAACAAACATGACATGACATGGAATAACTTCAAAGAAGCGTAGCCGGCTAGAGGCCGCAGGCCCAACATATTTATTTTTTCTGTAAGTGTTGATATCCACATCTCCAGCCTAACACCTTTGCTGGTTCTCAGTCGGAATTGTTAGACAGGTTTTGGGAATGAACTGTTTGGGATCCTAACGGAAAGCGCCCGTTGGATGATTCAGATTGGGGTCAACTCCTTCCTTGAAAAACGGCAAGTGTTGGAGGAACACCCTTGTGTCGGGTTCCTGGTGGTATCTTCCCGCCTATCTTACTTACACTTGGGGAATGAGCTCATGTAGGTCTTTTACGTGGCCCACATCCAAGGTGTACAGAAAATCAAACGTTCTGACAAGTTCTGACTCTGCTCTGAATTTGGTCCACCCTAAGACTAACACTGGCCCCATTTTCCCATTGTCAAAGTCAATTCCTGAGTGGAAGGTAAACAACCCCAGTTTCTGACATTGATGACCTCGAGAAATGGTCGCGGTATCGACCCCAGTCAAACATGACAAAAACAGAATTGGGGGAGACCTCTCGACGGACGGCTAACAGGAAGCGCTCCGAAACGCTGCAGCAAACGCTCTCTGCTCCAGTCGTTGGGCCGCGCGAGGGCTTCTAGCGGCAAGTTCCGCAGAACCTGCTCCGCAGAAACCAAAAAGAGCACCAGAGGTTCCCTCAAATCCATGTTCCCGAAAACGGCACCCAAATATCTCCACACGACCAGTTTGAGTATGTTGGCTCTTCAAAACAACGACATGTTGAGGGACCAGAATGCAACTCTCTTTGCTCTTGGGTCAAAGAAAGATGCAGACTCGTCCCATTTGCCAGGCCCAAACCATTTTGACCTCAATTATGTTTCCGTTTGTGACAAGCATTTGCTATCTGCATTTTGGCTGCTCTGAATACGGAACACCCAGGGTCTTCTAGGTCAAAATCGAAGCACTTCTTTAAGGTTCCACAATCTATCGCTCTTTGGGTAAACAAGAAATACTATGCGAAACTAGTCACGCCCCCAAACCATTGCGTCCTATCTTCAAGCCCGAAGGTGGCACGCGTTTTGGACTTCTCGATTTGAACTTGAAAGGCGGCAACCATTTCCCTGACTATCTGGCAGTCCTGGAGACTCTCCGACATGCCCACCTTGGCCCACCTTCTTAGTGTGGGCTGTTTTTGAAGGGCCCGGTTTTGTGTTGTGTTGAAGCGGAAAATCGAAAGGACACATCCTGAACCAGATCCAGCGTAAGGAAAGCAACGCCATCGTCGAAACTGGCTGGTGACGCAGCCAAAGGTTCATGGATCTGGTGGTTTGAAGGTGGAAATCATCCAGGGCTTCCTCGATCCCTGCTGGGTTCTGGATTTTGTCCGTCACGAGCCCGGGGCTCGCGCCAAGCCCTGCTCGTTGTTGATGGCCAGCTCAGCAAAGGCCTCCGCACCTCGGATGTGGATCGAAAAACGACGCCGAGATCAATCCTGGCGTAGAGCTCCTTCAAGACCCTTGCAGTCCCCTTAGATTCCAAGGCGGGTAACTTCCCCACCAAGACCCACACAAACTCCAAGCATCCGAAGAGAAATGGCAGGGGTTTGCAAAGAACAGTTCATGAAAATAGTGGGGAAATCCTCTAGAGTCCTGACCGTTTTCCCGTCAAGAACAAAACACATACGAAGAATGCCGAGGCTTCACTATCTTTGCTTAAAGCCACAGCAAACAAACATGCAAAAGCTCAAGGAAAATATAACCCTGAAAGCATCATGCCAAGGGAACAACAGAAGCACTGTTCCGGAACCTTCTGACTGGGGCTTTGCATTGAGGGTGGGCATACAACAAACTTGGGACGCTTGGGAAGGGGGCTAGTTTCCCCAGACCTCCTGTGGCAATGGGAATCGTTTTTGTAGTTGATTTCAAAGGCCACTCGCGAACAGAAGAGTGAACCTTTCTTTTGTGTTATGGTGCCACTCACTGCATGATACTGACCATGACCTCTTAACAAACACACAACAGGCGTTTGCTTTACGCATCACTCCACCCATGGCGAGCTTCGCTTTTAGCCAGCAACCAAAATATTCCCATACGCATCCGTTCAGGCAAAGTCTAGGGCATGCTGCAATGTTCCTTTCTGGGTGCAAAATAGGGGGTCTGAAGAAACTAAACAAAAACGCATCTTTTTGGAATTAACGAATACATTTGGAGATGTTGCATCCAGTTTAAAGGGAGATAGAGTTGGAATGAGATTTTGACTGATGAATAGGGGGTGTCTCATTGAGGGGAGTGCTTTTGCGGCGACAGTCCATGATTCTGGCAGATTTATTGATCTGGGGTCTTGTATCACTCCCTTGAACATCACCTCACTCAAAATAAGGACAATCAGGATTGACCGAAATGTGATGTTCGACAACCACAACTTGTTTTTTGCAACATGGCGGCTTTGCCTGCAAGTTTCATACTTGTCGAATGCCCCACATGCCTTCAACATGTATGCACCGTTGTGGGAAAAGCGGAAGAACAATGTCCCCTTTCGAACCAACACCCCAAACCCTAAGCGCCCGGCTCAGATTCGCAGCGTCCAACGATTTCAGCTCGCAGCGCGTGCTGCGAACCTTGCTCTTCGCCCACTTCCGAACCAACTCCACAGGGCGCAGGTAGTCCTGTGGTGAAACGACAATCTGGCTTTTGCGGGGGCTGCACGGGGTAGATTGCACAAGGGAAAGTCAGCGTGTGAGCAACAGGTCAAAATTGCTTGTTTCCCTAGGATATGGAAGACTTCGTGAGTCCCCGTAGGATTTGCGGGAAATTTAGCGAGTCCCGACCATAGTCTAACCGGTAACTTTGAACCTCATGTAGAAGGTGATCATAATGCTGGCCAACTATTGTACCTTTTTGTGGTTGATTGGGAAAACGATGGCAAACCATCTCTTTGCAGGGTCCCATCAAGCACAAGAGACTGGTCTCACCCAAGTCAACTTCTAGCAGGTACTTGAAAGTCAACAGGACTGGTTTCAGCTCAGTTCCAATGGCTACAAGCGATTTCTCGAGGACAGCTAGGACTTGGGGCTCTCCATAGGCTCTGAGGAGCTACAGGGCCCAAGTCACTTTTTGTTGGCCCCTTGGTGATAGAATTGAACTCTACATGAGGTGATGTGCCAACCCCCAGACGGAGTTGGAACCATGTTTACAGCTTTGGCCATGTGCGGGGGGGGGGAGGGGGTGTTGTGACTGGGTCAATGGTCAAGCCTAAGGAGGTGAATCCTCAGCATCCAGTTGCCCTGCGACGACTGTGCTACAAAAAGGAACTTGTTGTCCGGCCGATTTCTTTTTGTTTGGACCCATGAAACAAAAGGATTTTGAAGGGAACACACTGAACAACTGGGATCACCCTTTCGGCTAAGGGCTATACATGCAACTAAGATGTTAGCAAGCATTACCCTTTGTGGCTCGAGCATTCCTTTGCCAAAGTAAGTTTCTGGTGAGATATGTCATAAATCCCTCCAAACGCAACAAGTCTAGGGGACAGCTTGAAACCGCCCAGTCACCAACTTGGCCCACATCTGGAGTAGCGAAACCAAAAGAAAACGTATGGTGATTACTTTACCCAACAAGACATAATATGTTCTAGAGAAAGCCCTAGCAGTCACAGTGAATGAGTTGATCGGCCCACTGCCCGTCTCCGTCCTCATCGTCGATCCGCGGCGGCGGCGGCGGCTGCCCCGGCTGTGCGGCAGTCAACGCACACAGCGCCAGGCTGAGCATCGCGCATCGGCGTAGAGCTTGCAGGGCGAGGCCGCGCAGCGTCTCTTTCTTATACGGTAGTAGACCCAGACATGAATAAATATTTAGATAATCAAATAGAAACATACATTTCTATCTCTCAAACAAACAAAAGGTAGGCCAAGCTCTCATATGTGGGCGTGCTAGGTTCCGCGCATTGGCTTCGTGGATCCGCTTTCGACGTGTTTATTGGGCGTCTGGCACCAAGTCGGGGACACGCAACAGGGTTCCCTGTATGAGTGTGAACCCTCTCAAGGACATCATTTACGTGGGGATAGTCATGTTCGGCTCTTCATAGTTCTTCCGCACGATGTTGGCTATGTTCCGCCAGATTTAGCAATCCTCTGCAATGAGCCAAAATATATTTCAAGTGGAAGCGCACCAAATGTGGTACATGCGCGATTGTTCACCGTGGCCCCTGCCCGAATGTTTGAATCTACAAACCGGTTTGGATGTGGCTTTTGTAGATCCACCCGTGTTTGATGTTCAAAGAGTACTAAAAAAGTACAAAGAAAGAACCAACAGGGGGAAGAACAGGGAAAATCCACAAACGGCAGCACTCTGGGATAACACCCAGGGAAGCACACAAGCTGTTTAGACAGAGGGATGTCAGCTTGGACTTCCATGCATGTGGGAATGTGAGTCCTGTTGCTCTTAGCCGGAAGTGCCCTCATTCCTTGCCGGGTTGAAAGCTAGATTGCTCCATGGCTTTGGCCAGCTGACGGTCAAAACAAGTGGCTACTGCAGCGTGCATCGGAAGTTAGTTGCCCCCCTGATTTGTCACAGGGGAGGTAAGTGCAGTAGTCCCCCCGGTGTGTGGCTCCCAAAAAAGCCACAGAACCAACCTGACATGGAATTTAATTTCCCCCCCAAGGCCTCCGGATCGGGCAGCTTCTCACCGAGTGGTTTGGCCAAAGCAAATCTGGACCTTTTCTTTTACCGCTAAATTGGTCTTCCCAAAACGTATGTCCAAGAACTCAGGGAGTAAGGTGAAATTGGTAGCTCCCAAACTGTTTTGGTCTGTATGACCAAAGTGGAGGCAATCCTCTTGACCTCAAAGGCTTGTCGGTAGGCAGGTCAAAGAAAGATGGGGGACTGCCCAAGAGTGGTGATGGAGGTTCCTGGTCTAACATCCTCAAGTGTTGCCTTGTCGCGTCCAACCCGTTCCAAAGGCCTTCAATCCATTTCCCCCACCCAAGTGGAACCTAGAAGATGTGCAAATGCTACAATCCCAAAACCTGAAATAAGAATCCCCACCTTCATGAGATCGTTGCACCCTGGAATCGGTGGAAGCGCTCGCGTTAATAAAAAACAAAAAAAACTCTCCACCGCTGCGAACGGTCAGCACAAATCAAGTCTGCGGGTTGGGAACTCTGCTCGTCACAAATAGGCTTGCAAAACATCACATAGTTTGAAGATGGTGACTAAGGTTTTGATAGGCCTCGCTATAAATCTTGCTCAAGCAGGGTAGAACCACCTACTACCATGGCCAACCCGGGTTTTGGGCGTTGCCCAAGCGCAACGAACTAGCTAAAGGCTAGCTTGTTGCTTGCGTTTGAAGGTTGTACATGCTTGCCCGGAGTCACTGGGACATATTCATAAGAGTGTTGTGTTGTTATTTTTTCCGGGGGGATACGGTATTTTTGGTGGTTGTGTAGGGGGCCAAAGCCAAAGCTTTTAGGGGAAACCAACCTTTTAGAGACAAACTGACAGAACTCTGACAAAGTCGCGCTGCTCGCCTGGGTCTCCTTCCTGGCATTGCCCTCCGAAAGGCTCTCCTGGCCAAGTTTCCAGAAAGCTCCCCATGCAAATTAGGTATCGCTATTGGATATGTGTCTAAGACAATGGTCTTTTTGAAGGGCGGTTTAATACCCGCTTTGGTGTTACCTTAAAGGGAAACCACAGGAACTCCGTCCATTCTTTTGGGCGCCTTACTGGTTTCCTTGTCAAATTGAGCGCGAGAACGGTCCCCTAACAAAAAGCAGACCCGTATGTGCCATGGCCAAAGCTCCCCCATAGTACCTAAAATCTAGAGGTGAAAATCCTGGTTACCTACTATGACCTGCCTGGATTGGCTGGGTACGTATACGGCGTTCCTCAAAAGAAGGGAACCTCACCCACAAATGGATTGCGTCCTTGCAGCCAGAAACTTCAAACCACCAACATTTCATGTACAACTACGAGAAACCCATGAGTGCCATGGTCAGAACCCTGAGATGTGGGTCATGGTCATGGTTCCTTAGCCAAAGGAAACTTAGAAGGAACTTCCGTGTTGCGGACACTACTTGAAGGTAGCTTTGCGCAAACAACATGAAGAACTAATGAATGCATGCCCGGGCCCAGCACTTTGTTGGATTGGTGCTCAGACGTGACTTGCGCCGCACTTTGTGCAGATTCCGCGGCAAGTGCGACGCTTTTGCAAATATTCATGACAGGCGCAGCACTTTGGCAATGCTGGAACGCGCCCTTTGGAAAGCCCACTGGCAGACGCGTGCGGTGTCACGTGCGGATTTCGTGGCAGGCACAGCACTATCGCCATGTCAGAGTTTGTGACAGGTGCAGCGCTTTAGCCAGGGTGCAGATTTGGTCGGGCGCAAGCGAGAGAGAGAGAGAGAGAGGGAGACAAAGAGAGAGAGAGAGAGAGAGAGAGAGAGAGCTGCGTTGACGGCTTTCTTGTAGCCGTATTTGGCAGCTGGTGTGGCTGCAAGCTTCTTCTCATGCCACACCGGCACGGAGTGATTCGTCAGATCAGCAATGGTAGCGCGCTGCTGGCATTCTCTCTCCAGAAAAAAAACAGCACGGTCAGTTGGTGTCAAATCTGGGCAGCAGCAGGGCGGGCGCAGTCTTCGCATTCCGATTGATGGTCAGACTCTGAACATAAAGCTCCCGCTGGTACCATGCTTTGTAGTGTTTCGTATGGGGAGAATCATCAAGATGCAAGGGGTCTGCTGCGCCACCGGGGTCTTCGAAGGATGCATCAAAGAAACGGGCTTCAGTTCTTGGTGAAGTCGGACCTGGATCAAGCGGGCAAGGTCGTTTTCGGGGAGGGGTTGAAGTATGTTGCTTGCGGCCCTCGGGCCCATCATTTTGTCAAAAAAGAGAGCAGCATCAACCTCAGCAGCAGTCCAGTGGAAGGGCGTCGCTTCTGGCAGGTGTGTCCAACACAGAAAGGATCGGCAGCAACGATCAATATTAAGCCGCGAGTACAGCACGCGCATTGCAGCAAGCACTTCCACAGGTAGGTGCTTCAATAATTGATGAAAATCCCGAAGAGTGTGAAAATCCAGAGCCAGCGCTGCCGGGGACACAGCGTCTTGTGCAACAGACTCAGTGTGCAAAGTCAGAATGCAGTCCAGGCAATGACCTGGAACCTGCCGCAGCTGTTGCAGAGCCTCGTGCGAATATGGCTCCGAAGCAAGCCTGAGGAAAATTCTAAAGCATATGGACAACTCTTCCTGAGGCGTCAAGGATTGCATGATCCAACTGTCGGAGTTCGTCAAACATGAAACGACTGTTCTCAAGAACTCATCTACAGCATTCGCAATCCATGCAAAGACAAACCAGGTAAAGTCATCTGCACATGACCTCATCAGATCCATGTAGTTCAGCTAACACAACCTGCCTGTCACACCTCGGATACGACATATAACATATAACATCAGTAAACATGCTCTCATTGGGTAGCGAAACTGCATGCATATTTGTATATGTATGTATAATATAATAAGTATATCTAGCCTCAGGAGCCAAACGTCATCTGTGCTACGCAGCACCAACAAACGTCTGCTGGCACGCAGCGAGCGAACGGTGTGCGCACCGAACGTTTGCTGGCACGCAGAGGATACTCAGCGACGCAACTACACCCCCCCCCCCCCGGCTGCTTGGCAGGGACGCTATTCCCCCCCCCCAACCCCCCATCCCCCCGAACCTTGGCAACGCTGCAACTTACTTCCTTGTGGAGCGACGGCGAACGTTGGCTCCTGAGGAGATGTAATATATATATATATGCAGACATACGTGTTTAAATAGATTCACTATTGTGCCATGCTCGAAGCACTTGTGCGGGTAGCGCTCACGTTTTCCTGCACAACCTCTTAAGTTTTTTGGGGAAAAACACGTAGTGATAGATTGCATATAATACCAATAGGGGAACATACGCACTATTCTTAAATGGAGCATAAGAGTCCTCATTGACTCATGATATCCTACCATGCCTATCTAAACTCCTATCGGGGGTCCATGGCACACAAACCCCCGGCAACAACCGCGACACAAACATGGCGGTGTCTCTACAAGCCCGTTTCAAGAACATGGTTCATTGGCATCCTTTTGAACAAATGGGTGGGTTTGTCTAGTCAATTAAACATGACGTAAACTCAAACTAGGAGAATCCGAAACCATTCTCAACAGGCGCCAGACAGGTCACTGAGCGATGTTATCAGACATAGCCCAGAGATTGTGATTCTTAGGGAACGGACCAACTTCAAGCTCTGAGAAAGGGCTCGTACAGTAGCAGGGTTCTGAAGTCCTTTCTAGGCTATAAGTCTATAAGGTCCTAATTTTTCGCGGCAACGGCAGACTTCAACCCAGCCTGCAACCTACTCTTTTAAAGAAGGGAGTTGGCCAAGCTTTTTTTAAACGAGCACGTCCACTCTACTACTGATCCACTGGGTGGGGGAGCGCGGCTGGGGAAAACATATCACTCATCTTACTTTATTTTGCTTTTGGGGAACTAACCTGTAAAGGGCCTTCATCATGGGGGAACTCATTTTACCCCCCTCTCCGTTCAGTGAGCTCGGTACAAGTCTCCAAGCGTTGTTAGGATAAAATAACTGGTAACGTTTTGGAACAACAAACTGCGCCCTCTAATATTACTGTCTTATAGAAGGGATTCTAATTGGACCATCTAGCTGACAATCTAAGTTGAAGAGGTGAGCAATCCTAGGCGAGGAACCTAGACTCCTTGAATACCACAACTGCTCGCTTTCCCTCGCAAACTGCCCCGAAGCAGCACGTGCCTTCAGCCGCTCACTTCCAGCCTCAAACAGTTCGAGCTCGCTGCGCGGGAACTCCCGTGTTTGGGCTGGGTGTGAAATCGAAACCGACAGGAACAAAACCATTGGCCGTTTTGTTTAGGAGGGGGGCCTTGGTTTGAACAACAGACAGTCTGTGGTACAATTCTCGCTCTTTCAGGCTTACTTCAATTCGAGATATGAGTGACGCCACAATTCGAGGGATATAAATTGGCTATACTGCGTCAAGGTGCGAATTGTTTGACGGCACTCCTTACTTTGAGACACCCATCATGTTTCTCTATACAAACAAATTTCCCGCAATCCAAGTCAATGAGGGGTCGATGAACCAACTCAATTTACACAGTCAATCCTTGTGTTGGAGCAAGCAAGACCTATAGACTCTGATTCAAGCAATTTGTCCGGCACCGGGGAAAGCCCATTTTGAATCACAGGGTAAATGGAATCTGGTTCTGTCCCGCTGAAGTGGTCCCTAAATGTATCACGTCCATTGGCCCGCAAAACAGGGGTACACTTACACTGAAGAATCAGAATTCTGATTCTGTAGCCCAATGTTTAAGTATTGCCCGTCCATCACTGGCTGGCGCTTGAAAGCCCGGCTTCTCGAGAACCATCCCCTGTCGCTAATCAGATGCCAGCAATGTCTCTTGGCACGGCCAAACTTCCCTAACCCTCAGTGCACATGGCCAAATGGGCACCTTTGAGGTAGCTTAAATTTCAAACCTTGCGACCTTTTGGAAGCTACTAGGAACCCTTATGGTTGCTTGAAGCCCCTAAGGGGTCCATGACTTGAAAGAACAGAACCGGGACAAACCGCAAACCACGCGAAGCGAACAACTCCACGAAACGCACGAATTGCGAACCGGCACGAACCGGAACCGAAAACCGCCGCTCACCAAACCGAGCCGAGCCGACCGGCAAACCCGAACCGCACTGCAGCGAACCGCCTTTGCTTTCGCCTTCCCAGGACGCGCTTCTGCCAGTGGGAACGTGCCGTGACGCCAAGCTGGGCATTTGCGTGGCTGAAAATCAGCCGGGCCACCATTTTGGTGCGGAGCCTTGGGCGGCGACGGGCTATGGCTCTTCCAGCTTTCTAGTGCTGGCGTGGATGCAGGCAGAGCAAAGAGCTGCATAGCCACAGCAGCCAGCTGCGGCAACTGGGCACTGTGCCTGCGCCAGAAAGATAAGGGAGACTGGTCTGGCCGAGCCGGGCTGCTGAAGCCGCACGAAAGTTAGGATTTCCTATGGATTTCCTCTCTGATGGCCTTCTCCACCTCTGCTTTTGCGCTCCATGGCGGTCAATTCGGAACATGGGCAGCTTGCTTCCTTCGGGGTCCGCAAAAAGCAAAGGGAGCGCCTTTAGAACCCACAGGCTCGGACTGCTTTTGATAGGCCCGGGAAATAATTAGATCATCAGACACGTCAGCGGCTGGAATCTAGGCTGTTTGCTTATTGAAAATTGGCTAGTTTCTTGTTGGAATCCTTTCAAACCGCTCCAAGCGAGGTACCGAGCCTCCAAGAAAACACGCCCGCCCCCATACTTGGTCCATGTTCCACTTCAAACCGAGGACTATTGTTTTTGTTCATCATCTGAGTCAAGGGCACAGATGTCTCCGACAGTCCCAAACGTTGACCCTTCGTCCCCGAAACGAATTGATCGCTTTCCCTCTCTTCCTAAGCCTCCGCGCCAAGTCCACGAAGGTCACCTTGCCTTGGAACGGACAAACGGAATCTTCAGGTGCACCAAAATCACGCCACAATTTCGTGTTTTGTTGTCGAGGTCCGATTCAAGCAGCTTTCAAGTCGCGAGCTTTCCCTTGCTTTTTCTTGCGTTGCCTGGCTTTCCCTTACTATTGCTCCTATTTTCCCTTCGCACCCATGCCGTTGTGGCCTTGCTGGTTTGTCATGTCAGGTGCTGAAATGATGGTTGCAGCTATCATGATGGGTTGTGTGTTGGTTTCTCTTCAAACCAACGCAACAAAGGGTACTAAGCCTCAAACACTACATCAACCCACCACTCCAAGCCCGAAACCTGACTTTTGCAGAGATTTCGGCACGATCAGATTGATTGACCCATTTCGGCCCTTACAAGTTTGCCCCAATCCCTAGGTCCCGGCCAAAGGTCCTGGTAGCGCTAGCACCTGGCTCCGCCTCAGGCACTGAGGCGAGCCATGTCAAGCCACATTTTGCAGGCAGCGGGCACTTCGGTTTGCCGGGCAGATGTTCAAAAGGTCCCCAAAGAACTAGACTGGATTCCCTTCCAAAAGTTGCACTTTACTGGTGGTTTCCAATACAACTGCCACCTTTGGAGGTTCCGAGGTACCGGAAAAGGAAATGGAGGAAACCTTGGTTCCTTGAACGATAACACCCGAAGGAAAGCTCCCTTTGTTTCACAAAGTCTGGTTTTGAGTTTTGATAAAGATCCAGAGTTCCCCAAGAAACCTGCAGAAACCAATTGGGTGTTGCTGCTGGTTGGCTGCCAAGTTATGATTGGGGTTGTTGTAAAGGGAAAACAAAAGGAACATCACGTTTTGGAGCTCCCCCCTGTAGACATGTACACCCGTATGGTGCTTGCCCAACTCTCAAACTTCATAGCCGTGGGCGTATCTTTTGTCGAGCGCTTTTTTCTGGGTTGTTTTGAAGGGAAACCAAACGGAAGCCAAAGGACGCCCACTCGTAAATTCGACTCGCCCGGGCATCGCGGCTGGCTTCTCCGAGTCCACGTGGAGCGTGAACCTCAGCGAGTTGGTGGCTTGGCATCTACCTCGGTTTTGTAGGTAAAACGGCATGCGGCAAAACCCTTTAAAGACTAGGAAAATGGCTAAGGGTTGGGCTGGGATGCCCTGCGTGGATGGGGGGGCCCCCACGCATCGACTACTTCCGAGTCGTTCAAAGGCATGGTTGCAGAGCATCACCAGTTTGTGACACCACAAGCCATCTCCACGACTACCTTGATCACGTTCGAGGGGATACGCTTGAGCAAAAAAAAATGCGTCCAACCACGTCCAAGCTGTCCCCAGATACCAATCAAAGGTTTCTAACGGGAAACTCCCTTTGGTGCGAGGACAAAGTTCTCCAAAGGCCCTGGCAGGGCGTGGGTCCGGGAACTCTCCCGGTTCAGCGCGTGGGCGCCCACTCGGCGGTTCTGTAGGCCCGCCTCCGGACCGATGAAGGGTTTTGAAGGGGCATAAGCCAAATAAGGGGAAATACGGCAGGACTAAGACAAAGTAAGGCGAGGACGAAACATAAACCATAATGATAGGGAGAGTCTTCAAAACAAAATGTTCTCACATCAAGCCACAATCAACGCCAAAACTTACTCCAAAAACCAATCCTGATTCAGCCAAACCCTGGCTGGGACTTGTTGCAGCCCCCCGAAAAGGTGGCCCTGGTGCCCTTCGATTAGTTTGGTTACAATTTCCACCCTTTTTGCAAGAACATCCCAACCCAAGCTTTGGTTTGGTGATGACTGGCTTTTGAGGGGGGCCGCTGCGGGGTACATTAGTTGGGCTCCTGCTCCCCAATCAATGTGAGAATATCTAACATCTGCTTACTGTCACTGATTCCGATCCCCGAATCTGCATGACTGGTGGCAGCCAACTCGTCAGCTCGTCTCCCGCGGCTCTCACAGTTCTGGATCCGGTTCGCCTCCAGCACAGATCTGACATCCGCCAAGTTCCCGCACTCCACGACCTGCGGGTATCAGTCGAGTCATGCCAAGGATCCGATTCGAAGGAGTGCCCTGCCCTTGCTTTGACCCAACGGCCTTGACTTGAAAGGAGGGCAAGGAGGGCCATACGAAGCCCAAAAGGGATCCTTCTGCAAGACACCGGGGCAGAACTTGGCAGTTGGAAATTCGGAAAGTTGCTGGGCAAGCTTGTTGGGCGAAAACTACATTCATTAGGCAAAGTGGGCAAAGTTGTTGAATTTGATAATCCGAGATGGCACTACCCCATCCCCTAGCACACACACACACAAACTAGCACCAACACCAACACCAACACCAACACCAACACCAACACCAACATCCACCCACATAGACACACACGTACCCGAATCAACCAACAACACAAAACAGAAAGCAGTAGTCGCAGCGACAAACTCTGAAACCGGAGAAAAACAAAAAAAAACAATCAATATCCTATCTTGGACCCGCTGAGATTCGCACCGCCAGGTCGCTGATGAAGAAGCCGTGTCTTTGGCTGAACCTCACCTCGTGCAAGGCGCGCGGGACACGCGAAGGGTCGACCTTCTGCCGGAAACCAAAGCCGGGACTCAGAAGCCCAGTGACCTTTGCTTGACACGTTTTTTTTCTTCCTTCGGCTGCATCATGCACTTGTGACTGACTAGCACGCCACTCAAGAAAATCACTACGCGCAACTTCCTCAGTGGACCAGCCAGAGCAAGCCCGAAATTTCTGCTTCGCACATCCACAAAACAATCCACAAGGGTATGATGATGGGAAGCAGCGGCCTTTCGAGGGTCCAGGAACTTGTCTTCTTCGCCCTGCATTAATGTCCCCAACAAAATTGATAGACTGCTTTGTCGGCCGGCTGAACTCAACACTGGACACCTGCAAAGTACAAACAAGACCCAACCACACAAGTCTCTAACAAGTAACTAAAAACGCGAAGTCCAACCGCGGAAAAGAGAAGCTCAACCAACCTGGGAAAACCAAGCAACTGACGAACCCTAGCCCCGAACCAAACACGCCGCCTGCAAGTTCCCGGCTTCGGGGTTCAGCAGGTCGCAAATGCACCTCCGGCCGCAGCCGATAGAAGACCCAGAACCCTAGCACCAGCCTGCCCCAGAAAACTTAGATGCATGCGTCAAGCAGGTTGGATCCTTACAGACAAAGAGCAGTAAGAGGGCAACTGAAAAGGCGGGGTTTGGGGAGCACGTTATATATATATATATATAAATGTTACAACATGATTGCTGTCCGTATTTAGTGAACCTGGAAGCAGAACATATCAAGAGACTGCATCTATTACTAACATCGAACGATCCTGGCTTCATGTGGCTTTGATGTGCATTCGCAATCCCGTTCGAACGAATTGGGCCATCTGATTTTAGACCAATATTCCACAAAGGCGCACCTTGGTAATTGATCTAACCCTCCCCAAACAAAACAATCAAGACAAATGAAACTCCAAATGGGAAATCCCAAAAAAGGAAACAAGACAGCCCTCCTTTCCAGGAAATCGGCTTGGGGTACCAATCGCCCTGTTCCGAGTTCCAAGTTCGAATCGCCGAGCGGCTCGTTCACAGCGCCCGGGGCATTGAAGATCTCCGCGAAGGAGGCCGTCACCTGAGCCGAAGCAACTGCTTGAAAGTGGGAAGGGTCCATGTTCAAAGTTGGCATTTTCAGGGTGTGGGTCAAAAACAGGTTCCCGAAATAAATGTAAACAAGGACTAAAACCTGAGGTACCCTGGTGGTTCAAATTCGACCCATAGCCAGGTATGGTTTTTGGAGGTAATGCTTTACCATCGTTTTAAAGCTGGTAAGGAAGCAGGGTGCATTCAGGTTCCGGTGGTGTGCGACTTAGTTCGGCTACAACCAACTAGAGGATTACACCCACTTAAGTAACCCCCCAATCACCAACCACCAACTAAAGAGTGTATATGAACCAGCCAAAGACAGGCGTGCACGTAAACCAACTAAAGGGTGTATATGAAACAGCCAAAGACAGGCATGCGCGTAACATAGGCACGGCTTCGTGGAATAAAGTACTAATCATGTTTAAAGCCTCAATCTTAGTTTATGGCTCTTCCAAACACATTCATACACATATCATGTTTAAAACTGAGCTGTAACTGGCTAGACGATTTTAACTCCAGGATTAACGCCACTATCAATAACTCACTTCCTAAGGGGATAGCCCAACCAAAAGTCCAAACTGTGTGTTTACGACTAACACGTGTTTTTTCCCCAAAAAGAGTAAGATAAGCTAGCCAGCTGTGCTGTTGCACGGTGGCGAGCGTGCCGGCGCTTGAAAGCTGCATCGGAAAGCAAACAAACGCTTGCTCCCTTTTCTTTCCTTTCCTTTCCTTTTCCTTTGCAACTCACTTGCTAAGAGCGAATATTCTAAAGGCGAAGCTTTGAGACCTTGACTGACAGACCAAAACTGGCAAACCAAAAAGGTCAAAAGAGCGTAGGACAACTGAAGTAAAGTAACGAACATCTTGACATGTGCCAACCTCCGGGATCAGGTCAGGCAAGCATTCAAGTGAGTAAAAGGGTGCTCAACTGATTCCTGCAGACCAACACCTCGAATCACGTGAACACTCCCATGAAAGAACATCACCCCGAACATCTTGACATGTGCCAACCTCCGGGATCAGGTCAGGCAAGCATTCAAGTGAGTAAAAGGGTGCTCAACTGATTCCTGCAGACCAACACCTCGAATCACGTGAACACTCCCATGAAAGAACATCACCCCACCAAAAGCAAACTCATAGCACGGGGAGGCCTGAAATTCATGCGACCGCGCCCCCCTCCTTTGGCACAGTCCTGCAACGAGCCTTGTTGGGGGAGGATTGCCAGCTCTTGGACTGCGACTGAAAGGGAAACTACCAACCAGTTTGGTCTGTGTTTTGGAGGATACCCTTTTCAGCATGCTGTACATGGAAGAAATCAAAAGAAACACTGCCAGACTTAGGGACGCCCTACCATTTTGGCACATGCCCACTTGAGCAGCGCCCAAAGCCTATTGACTCTTGGCTCTACTAAGTTAAGCTAGTAACGCCATAAGATACACGGGCCTTATCATGATCCCGCTTAATTCATGCGATAGAGCAACCTCCAAACATTGCCAATGGGAATTGGTTTTGGGCGCTGCTCATCTGAAGAAATGGTCCCGAGCTCGCTTTGATCTTCCTTCAAGCTCCTTCCGGGGTCTTTGGGATCCGCGCTCTAACGCGAACCTCCGGCGTGTCGCCTGACGAGTCGCGACGCAGAGTCAAAAACGTATGTAAATATGTATATATATATACATATATATATATGCATATACATATATATATATATATATATATTCATAAATATACGTATACACATACATCTCCCTCTCCTCTCTCTCTCTCTCTCTCTCTCGCTGTCTCTCCGCACCATGGCCCTTTTGTGCGCCCTACCAATAAGTTGGGCTCTGGTCCTGGCTGCCTTAGGGCAAGTCGAAGTCAAAGTATCTGCCTGTTTCCTCCCTTTTTGTTGCTCTTGCTCTTGGAGAAACAGAAGAAAAAGAGCATGGACAAGGAGTATACAGCAAAGGGTGGCACAAGCTGGAACGCCTTCCCCATTTTGCTGGGTTTGGGGCTGGCTTATATACTTGCATTTCAGGGAATCCGTTCCGGTCTCTTCAATCATCAGCAATCCTCGCTGGGTTTGGCAGATGGGTGAATATTCATCCAGCAATCCACCGAAGTGGGTTCCCTAAATAAATGTTTCCCGAGGTGGGTCCCAAATGAAAGCCTCTCGAATGCTCCGTGGGAAATCAGCGTTTTGCTTGTGACCCCTTTGAAAGTGGCTTCTGATGGCTTAAGCCTGGCAATGTGAGCTACACCTGCAAACTCTGCAACAATTCCCCAACCAGAAATCAGCACCAGAACCCCAAGGACCTCCATCATGGATTGTCGCTCGTCTTACCCTGGAATTGGTGAGCTCGAGACTCGAAACCCAACATGAAGGGACAATCGCATTGCCGCCACTTCGTAGCCGAAGCGACACTCGACACGCGACTCGACATCCCCGGGCGCACCGATCTGTCGGAAGAGGCGGCGAGCGGCTCGCATGATGAGCCCGTCGTTCTTCTTGACCTCCGTTCCAACCACAAACCGCAGCTCAACCCTTGGCGGATTGGTCGGAAGTTCAGACTTTTTGTTTGCGTCTTCCCCAAAAAATTAAAGTGCGGAAGCTGGGGAAGTGAGACAGAGTTACTCACAAACAGGTGCTGGGGAAAATTTGCGCAACCAAAGTCGGCGCTTCTCGCTATGGCTCTTCTTCCCAAGTCTTGGGACCCCGACAAACATAAGCATTCGATCACAAGTGGGAAACGGGGAAAGTACGACAAGCCCAGGATAAACGGGGTATATCACCAGAATCCAAAGAAACTACATAACCATGATATGACCATATGTTACTTTCGAATAAGGGTATAGTCAACGTTGCTTGTTTCCCAAGGAAGACATGGGACAACTAGAGCTCGTCCCCTGGCTCTCCTGGTGGAAATTTCACGCGTCCACAAACGAATCTGAACATGTAAACGAAGCCTCAACCTCATGTTACCTTCAAGGCCGTGTGGTATGGCGGAAAAGGACACCCAGCAAGCAATTCGTTAGCAAGCATCCCAAGAGGCCCTGAGTGTTGCAAATAAAACAACAACACTCGACCACACCTTGGTACATTGCAATCGTTGCAGTAATGATGTTGTGTCGCTTCTTCCCATACTTGAAAGGTTGAGGAATCAACCGAATTCCCCGGGTTGTGACTCGCATGGCTCAAACTAGATTGAACCCAGCCCATGGTTTCAAGTGATTCAACTATGCTACCAGCGTCGCCAACCACGAGAAAAACAAATAAACCGGCCTTTTCCAAAGGTGATGTCTTTACCAAGCAGGTGAAATGTAGGGCGCCCTACAAAAGGAAGTCAAATGACCATCCGCAAAACTAGGCGCCAATTCTATCTTTTGCGCCGCCGTGAGCTTGTTCTTAGTGGGGAATTTGGAGGAAACCCTTAATTAACCCCCCAAGCGGGTGATTGCATGGAGTCTTTGGAATGTACTTTCCCAAATCCTGAGCGAAGACCAAACATCAGGCCCTTTTTGAGACCTTGCCGTACTACGCTGCCTCGTAAGCCCCAACCCCCAAACAGTGTTGCAAACGACCATTTCTCACTTCCTGAGTGAGTTGACCAAGCAAACCACTCAATTTCATACCCCTAGAATTGTCCACTGCAAAGGGAAAAAAAAGCAGGAACTCTGTGAGATGTTGTTCAACACAGGGGCTTCCCGGCACAACCACCCTTGGGTGTAAGTCTACCTTGCAGTGGTCGAAAAATGGAACCCTGCTGGTTTTGTTTCCCTGGAAAGACATGAAAGACACCCATGGTACCAACACCCGTTGAGAAACCCTCAAGAACTCTAGCTAACGCGTTTTTGGTAGGCTGGTAGGGCCTCCCGATTTCTCTAGTGACTCTCACACGACATGTCGCTTGCAGGTCCCAGGCAAATTAAAGGCTCAACTTGCTCAAGGATCCCTACATTTCCCTTTCAAGCCAGTTTAAGCATCACTTTTGGACCGGTTGCGGCTGAACTGCTTCTAGGTGACGTGATAATTATTTTGGAGGGAAATAGGGGTAGTCCTGCTGTTATGAGTGATTTTGCCGTTTCTTGACACAAGTATTGGGCTTGCACAAGTAACGCCCTGACATGAGGCAGATGCGTTTCATTGGTTGCTCTTCAGCATGGACACGTTGCTCCGCAATATGCCACGAGAGGCACGTTTGTCTGTTGGCCAGGTTTACTGGAAGGTCACTTGGAGAAACAAAACAAGCCCATGCATCATGCAACCCCCTTGAAGCCCTGCAGGGCTCTTCGGTAGATTTACCAAGGCTTACTGGGCCTTAAGCCTAGATCTCTTAGGACCCCTGCATGGTTCCAGGACGCTCAACCCGGGGCTAGAACAACCTATAGCCATGGCATTTACTTGAGACTGCAGAACGTAAAGCATCTACGGCCCGTCAGCCCAAATCTAACCAGGAACATGCGAAAACTGCGGCAAAATTGATTGGATGGATGCCATTTACATTTCATCTTAAAACGCATGAGCCACGTTAGGACACGGAACAAACACCGAATCATTTCGTCTTGTTGTGAAAAATGTGGTCTTTCCACTTCCACCAAAGAAGACTGGATGTGTTGACAGAACTTCGTATAAGTGTCGGTCTCAACATGGTGACCTTGGTAGGGGGTTGTTTAGTGGGTCCACGCCACCAAATTGAAAGGAAAAACAACGTGCAAAGCACAAATCTGCAAACAAACAACCCAACCAAAGAATGGTCCTCAACCACTGGGCTCTACTGAACAACTGAGCAGTGAAAACATGACTTTTGGCTCTACCAACATGCTTACAAATAATTACTAGGTCTGACCTTGGTTCGTCCTGACGCTCTGCAAAGGTGAAACACTTTTCGTTGGTTAGTTTGGCGGTTGTTTCTTTCCGAAAGGTTCAAAGGTGATCTCGGCCGTACAAAAGAGAAACCAAGCGACTCTACCCCTACCTAACAGAAGGTGTTTTCCTTCGCTGAACTTTTTACATCTCATTGTGGACGCTGGCGCATGGAACCGGAGAAACAGTGCGATTTGTCGTCTTGCAGGCGAAGCGTTCGTTAAACCGCATAAGAACGAGCTGGCCCTGTGTAGCTCTAGTGGTATCACAGAAAGCGGCCTTCAAACCCAAATGTCCACAACCATTCGGCCTTACTGTAACCCCATAGGCCCATAAAACTAGGTAGCAACCGAACCACCTACTAAAGTGTCCCTTGTGACAATCAGCTTTGAGCGCTGCTCGCTTGCTTTGCCAAAGAACCCGGTTGTAAAAAGGGCGCTCATCTTTCGGGTCGCCTTTACTGGGCAGCCTATAGAGCAAAAGGCGGGCGTCTCGCGCCTCATCCTTGCACTCGGAGCGCTCGGAAGACGCAGAGCGGCCCATCTGGCGAATGAATCGAACCGGAGGCTGCTCCAAGCCTCCCCCACACCCCCCAACCCCCAAACTACCCTAAAAGAGCGAAATCACCCTATTGGTGTGGGGCATGTCCAAGCTCTTATGGACAGTTTGCAGGTAGCCTTTAGGTTTCATGGAAAACCATTTGGCTCCAAAAGGTCCACGGGGCGATGCAGTCAATTTCAAAGACCAACCATCATCAGCCCCCCGTTTGATCAAGAACCACACGTTCAAATCCCCGATCCAACACCACCAATGAAGGGTTGTCAGAAGTACATTGACCTTTTTCTGTGACACGGGATTCCAATTCCTGTGGCTACTTTGTCATCCAGGTACCCCCAGCTGGGTGCCAAACAGGGGGTCTGGCCAAGAAATGTGTGTTTACTCCAAAAACAAACAACGCCGGGATCCCACGCGCATGCGAGCCATGCGATTCGATTCCGATCCCCGGCCATGGTATAGGTCTTGCCGCTGCCGGTTTGGCCGTAGGCCAAGACCGTCGCCTCAGATGGGAAATCGGACCCGAAGGATCTAATTCGATGGATTTCAGTCGCCACTCAAATACTGAAGTTTTTAATTTCAAGGTACCTGGACCTCAATTTCCCCTTTCAAGTTCAGGTATGGCGGTATGCAAGCTTATTGGTTGCTCCTTTCATGGCAAATGAACACCAACCAAGAGCTGCGTGCTTGCTGAGCTACAACTGGTACCATCGAGGGTGCCAAATAAACCGCAAGAGGTGATAACTCTGGGTGACTTATAGAAAACTCGCAAAAGGGGGTTGCAAGCTTACCCATGATGACCGACTGGTTCAAATCGGACTTTTACCATTTACTTTGTTGTTTTGGTTCCAGCAACCGCCGCTAAACAAAAGCAACAAAACAAAGTTCGAAGTTTTGAAAGTTAGTTTTGCACAAGTCAGATCTCTTTGCTTGCCCAAATGGAACGTTCCTAAGCTGCACAAGGGATTGGACATAGTCCCGCCGCACTGCACAACTCGGTTAGGTTCATCCCCAGTAAGTCAGTCCACCGGAGCTCGGGAACCTTCATTGCGACTACTGGACACGACTGGTCAAACAAAGATTGAACTTTTTGGGCCTTTACTAACTTAATGAACAAATGCCAGCCCCGGACTTCACTCATTCCCCATTTGAGCAGAGCCCAAAACCCATGACTTTTGGTTCTACTAACAAGGTTGTACGGGTTTAGAAAGGACTTACTCTTGGCTATAGCGCAAGCAGCAACCGAACCACCTGGCAAAAAATAATTGCTCTGGCGCTGCTCATTTTGGCTATTCTCTCACACATGGAAGTAGTGAATTGCCCCGCACGCTGAGTATCCGCACCGCATAGCCGGCCAGCGCTGAATCCAGCAGGCAGACCACCCCACTCTCTTGGAAGACCTACCGTTGCCAAACCCCCAGCATCCCCCAGCAGCCATGGGAGAAAACGGGTGCTTGTTATTGGTAGTTGACTGCAAGGGGAACCCCCCTCAAAAACAATACAAACGGGACACCATTGGGGGTCTGGGTGATTCTTGTCTATTGGCGTTTTGCATGGTTTGGTGGCTTGGAGGCTAGGCTCACTTCCTTTCCTTTTCGGGGAAAAACTGATTCGTTGGAGTTGGCGCCCCTTTTGCTGGGCCCATTTTAGAAAGACGTCCGCAGTTGAAATGGAAATCAGCGGGATCCATAGATATGTGATAATTTGCACAAGGAAGAGATTCTCGTCCCTGGCACAGCAAAACAAGGGGACCCACCAATTGACTGCCTTGTGACTAGGACGGAAACTAGATCCCTGTTTGTTCAGCCAAACCACTAGGAGGAGAACGTCAAACAGGTACTGCCCCTGCCCTTGTCAGCTAGCCTCAGATCTTGAATGGATGGCAAAGAAAATCAAAACTTGTTGTTTACCACTAAAATGAAAGATTAAAGTCCAGGAACTCAGGGAGTGAGACAAGGGAAGCCAAAAGCAAACCATAGTTTGTTGGTTCTTGATTAATTGAGGCGCACCCATACCCAAAGCTCAACTCATGCACTTGACCCCTATTGACCCCTGCAAGCAACGAATGATCTGGGCAAATTATAACTCAACGGAAAAACAGGGATCGATTTCTGTGAAAGAAATTCATGGGCACCCTCTGCTCTTGGGCTAGACCTCCAAGCTTCCGTGTTCAAAACAAAGCACCACGCCAAGCTCGCTCCAAAAGGACTTCCAGCTGCCTTCAAACATGTTTAAGCAAGTCCTCTAAACATGACTGTCCGATTTCTAACTCAAGTGGATTTATGGCCAACCGTGTTTTGAAGTGTTCCTTGAAATTCACAGGCGCGCCATTCGGACAGCCGAAAGCCAAAAGCTCGATGAAAGTAATGGTTCCCGAAAGGCTTGGGCGAATACCAACGTGCGACCCATTTGGAGGCCACATCTGGGTAACTATTGCATACACGGAGTGTTGAGATTCCCACGGCCTTGCCCAGAACCTGTTGAATTCTGGGATCTGCCAAAAAAGTGTTCAAGGCATACGGAGCTTCAAAAATGGGGTCTTGGCAACACAAATACCTATCACCTCTTCGTTCGTTTGTGCGTGATCACCATCGTTGCTATTTAGAACCCAGTTTATCCGAGCCTTATCAAAATCCCCACTTGCGTGAGTACCCCAAGAATGATGGTTTTCCCTTAGCCCCCCCCCCCAACAACAAAAGAACAAGTCTGCTCAAACAAAGACACCAACAGGTGCCAGGGAAACAAAGAGGCTGAACACAACAATGAGCAGACATGAGCAGTGCATACGTTGCTTTACCCAGTGGGGCAACCAGAAACACTATGTGCACTGTGGTTTGATGGGAAGTCACAAACTCTTGGGATACCCCTATTTTGACACATTTGTCCATGTCGGAAACAGTAAATAGTAAACATGCTGGTTGCGTACAATTGTTATATCAGGGGGCCATAATCTTCCTCTGCCCTTGCTATGGCTCTGAATCAGTGTTGGAACTCTAGTGCCAACTGAGATCCACTGGAAGGCTTACAAAAGTGACCCAAACAGTTGCACCTCAGAGTCTACAGGCAATTAACCAGCCCCTTTGCACATCCTTCTTTGGAGAATGGGAAACCCCTGGTTACCCATCAACTGGAGGTTTCGTCTCGCGTCGACTCGACTCCGCCTGCTTCTGCGACCGATCCTCCGGCAGGCAGGCGTCGAAGGAGTACTTCCGCCAGTGGTTACCTCCGCCGGCCCTGGCACGCGCTTCCGCGAGCGAGCGGATCCGACCAAGCGAGCGCGCCCTCGCGGATTTCGAAACGCGCAATGTTTGATTGCCTTAGAAATGAGGAACTTGTTTGAGCGCAACAGCCCAGTTGTTGGAAGCCCCAAAATTGTGGTTTCCTTTGCGATTCCCAAAAAATGGAACCTTAAAAAAACAAACACCACCCAGCCACCCAGCCACCCAGCCACCCAGCCACCCAGCCACCCAGCCACCCAGCCACCCAGCCACCCAGCCACCCAGCCACCCAGCCACCCAGCCACTACAAATAAAAACATTTGGGAGGGGGCTCCCGCTTTATCCTACAGGGAGCCAAAGGCCCCCTGTCACTTTCGTCCGACGGATATGATTAACTTCCGAACAAGAGGCTTGGCTGAAACAAATAACCACGCGTGTTGCTTGCCAGAGACATGTTCTTGCCCAATAAAGTATCCTGCACACGTTTGAAAATTGGATATGGCCCCAAAACAATTATCCATTCCCATTTCTTTAAGGTTGCGATGTGTTGCGTGCGACTCAGACTGTAAGTCGCTTTAGTGACGGGTTGCCTTTCAAAATGGAGGGAAACATTCTGACACGGGCTGGCTTGAGCGTCCAGGTAAAGTCATCCTACTCGGGAAGGAAGCCACCCAAGACACCACATCAATGGTGAAGGAACCTTCTGACTCCGAAGGGTTGAAATGCACCATGAGTGGGGCATCAGTCTCGCCAACCCCTTGTTGAAACATGTTCAAACAAGGCAACTACCTTGACCCTCAAACTACTTCCTTGATATTGCAACCCAAAATAATGGCTTGCGAATTCCACTGTTTTTAGTCTAGTTTGAGGGTTCTGGTAGTTAGTGTTTAAGCAATCTTCCCTGCGGAGTCACAGTCACCACAAGGTTGTTTGAACAAATGTCGCCCAAACCTGCAGATCGCCCCTGCGCGCCTCACGAGGATGGAGCTATCTGACACCTGGCGAGTGCATCCACCGAACCCTCGTGGCACGGATCAGTGGGTCCGAAATGAACCAGGCCGACTCATGCAGTGCCAGATTTGAGGTGCACCCGATGTTCCAAGGGGTTTCTTGCCCAATTCTGACCACAGACCCTTGTTTGGAAGAAACAGTTCCTGATTGAAAGAACAGTGGTTGAAAAGAATGGGGGAAAAACAAATCGAGCCCTATATAGCCTATTGGGCATGTTGTTTTAACTTGGATACGACTAGAAACAGTCAAGATCCTGGTGATAGCTTCTAAAAAAGGTGACCCGTTAAACTGGTGCCTTCTTTCTGGTCTCCATTTCAACAAACCCAGAAGGTAAGGGCTCCGAAAAAAAGGACACCAACGGGGGGAGCGCATCTCTGCAGTCCTCCCAAACTTGAAATGAAAAGACACTTTCGCCCGCTTTATGGGAATGTAGCCATCCAGGGAGACGGGTACGATTCATGATAGGAAGCCAGCAGATTCATTGTCAACCTCTGGTTGATTCATGCGACTCTAAAGACCCTGCAGTAAACAACACGTTGGTTCTACAGGGTTGTACGGGATACTACGGGATGTTGGTCACGGGAACCCGGCTCCAATGTTTTCTTTCTTGGATTCTACGCCTGGGGGCTCCGTTCTCATGTTGATTGTTGACAAAAAAGACTCGTTTCGGGGTCCCGGTGCTCCTTTGGGCTCCGCGTCTTTTTTGAATTCACGCCTGTGGGCCCTGGTGCTTTTTATTGAAGACACGCTTAGGGGCCCCGGTGTTTGATTTGTGTAAAAACACCCGGGCCCACAGGCATGAATGCGACAGAAACAAGCACGGGGACCCAAGCGAGACTTCAAAAAACGGAGCCCCCAGGCGTGATTCAAGAGGCAAACATCGAGACCCCCAGGCGGGATTTCAAAAGAACAAACACGACAGGGCAAAGACGCGTGAATTCAACAAACCACCTGGAGCCCCCAGGCGTGATTTCAAAAAAAGAAAACGGACCCCCCAAGAGTGATTTGAAAATATGTGATTCCAAAATACTCCAAAAAGCAAGACAATGGAGCCGGCGGGATTTTTAAAAAATGGGGAAAACAAAACGGGACCCCTCCCCAGGGCGTGATTTCAAAACAACCGGGACCGAGGGTGTTTTTGGAATCACCTGTCGCTCACTGCTCGCTTCGTCTATGAAAAACAACAAAACGAGAATCCAATCCAACATGAGGAATTCAAAATTTACACGGCCGGTTCCTGGAAGGCCGGTGAATCTTTGAGGTCATCGCCATATTTCCCCCAAAAGCTAGAAAGTGAGATCAATGATTCAGGGGCTGCCTGTGGGTGTGTCTCTTTTTGAGGATGCCCGTTTGTAGTGGCATTAAAGAAAAACAACGTTGCATCTAACCGTTTTTCGGGCTCCCCTTTTTAAGACTCGATCAGTCCTATATTTCACCACATCACTCCAAGTGGAACCCCAGCTATAGTGGCCTTTCCAATGGTGAACCAACATTTGACCCATTTGCTGGGTAAATACTGCACACATAGAGTGTTTGGGAATGGGAACCCTGTGGCAAATCGGGAAAAAAGAAAAGGTGATGTATAAAAGGACGGGGGAAATAGAGCTGGACCCTTGACCAACTGCCAAAAACCCGTTGAGAGTGGGGATCTCAATGAGGTGGGGGTCTTTAAAGGGAAATCAAAGACAAGCTGGTTTGCGGATTCCCTCAAACTACGCCGAAATTGAGGAGCTCCCAGAACTGGCGAGGTCCCGATTGGGGTTGTTAACCTACGATCTTGCTTGGGAAAATTGCGGTTTCGAGAATCAAGGATTCTAGGCACTGCTGAGAACTTGTTTAATAGGTGCTGCGACAAAAGGACAACCACCAACTTAGACGGCCCCCTATTTTAACACAAACCCATATTATGGGAATTATCAGTGGGGGGTGTCTTTTTTGCGAGGCGCGGTACCCTTTTGGAAGGTGGTTTGAAGGGAACCACAGGGACACCTCTCATCATGCAGATCATACACGCCCACTTTGGTGCCCTATTGGTGCGCCAAATTCCAAGGGGTCGAAAAACCAGTTCTACCTTTTGCACCGCTTCCTTCATTTCAAGACACATCTCGACCCTCAAACTACCCATAAACATGTGATATGGGTCCATGGTGATTTGCCCCTGTTCCTAGGCTAGTTTGGGGCTCCATGAACCCATTTGGGTCTGATTTGTGCTGTTTTTACAGGGACCCCCAAAACAATGTGGTTTTGCGGCTCTGCTTTTTTTCCCCACGAAAAAACGCTAAGAAACCGAGGGGGCAGCCATCTTCTGTTTCGGTCCCTACCGCTTCGATCCGCAGGCCTGGCAGCAGCTCTCATGGCCAGCCTCCAGCTCAGACCTGGCTCCGAGGCTTCGGGGTTTTGGTGGGGCCAGGGTTCGCCAGGGCTGCCAGTTGCAAAGGAAACCAGGCGAAACCCTGGTCTAACAACCGGAGGGTCAAGAACCCCTGGCTACCCAGTCTACTAAAAATACCTGGCCACTAAAAGAGGCACCCGGGGGTGCACCGTCAGGAGGTAGAATTCATTTGGTGCCACAGTGCTTCGAAGCCAGACGAAGGCTTGCCAGAGTCAGGAATCTTTGAGAAGTCCAACGATATGTCCAACCTTGGGCCTGTCTCAAAATGGGGGGGTCGCTGGATGGCGATCAAAGGAAACCAGCACACCAAATCCATGAAAACATCAACCGGACGGCCGCATGCAATTATGATTGCAGCTCTTTGCCGAGAACGATGAATCATGCCAGCTTTTGATGCTTTACCTACACAGCCTGCTGGACTGCTGGTCAGTTGTGTTGCTACAAGGGGCGACACTCCCCGAAAGCAAAAGGCCGAAGCCAACAAAGTGAGGCAAGGTCGAACAAAGAAGCACTGAGGCGTCTTGGAATGTTGGAGTTAAGCCAATCAAGAAGCCCCTGGCGGCGGGGTCTGTCTTCTTGTGTTGGAAGGGTCAGAAATCCTCAGGGGCTCAAAGGCACTCACTTGATGAGTGGATTGGGAACCAACAGGTGACACAATTTTCTTTCAATAACACAGACAGGGCAAAAATAATCAAGCAACCACGGACTTGTTTTTTGCGTGGGGGGAATTTGGAAATCAGGTAACCCTCATGGCAACTAAGCATCATGATGTCCTTCTTCCACGAAAAATGCAAATGAAACAAGTAGAATGCTTGTTGGATGGGAGAGAAACGCAGAGAAAAAAAACAAATCAAAACGTGCAACAGGCAAGCCTTCGGTCTGGCAATGTTTCGTTGGGAGCTATGGGTGGGTGATTCTTTGAGGGTACCCTTGTTAGGGTTGATTTAAAGGGAACCACAAAAAGCACACCCATACCTGCGCAGGTATCATGCCCACAAATATCTACTCACAAACTGGAAATAAACAATCCCAAAGTAAGGGACCTTCATAGCGTTTCGCTCGCTTTCCCTCCCCAAAATAAGGTGGAATCGCCGGTTAGAATTTGCCTGCACCCAGAAAACTGGATCTGGACCCTGTGATTTCAGCATCACATTCTGGGCAATTGTTGATTCCCCCCTTGGTGGGGTCAAAATTTGGCCAGACAACGCTGCTGCAAAAACGAGCGAGAAATCCCAGCGAGTGGTACGACAGCAGCGGGCGCAGGCGTACAACTGCTCTCACAGAAGAGGACCTGCCATCTGGCTAGATGGTCGAAAGGCTAAACAAAAACTGGACTCGATGTCCTCCGAGAAAAATGGGGGGGGGGGGGGGGGGCACTTTCTGACAATGGGTAGTTACCCTTAGAAGACACCAACAAAAATGAGGTTGTCCTTTTGGTTTCCGTTTAGACCAACTTGCAAAGGGCACCTTTAGCGTCAAAACACACACACACACACACAAATGCAGCTCACCATACCGGTTAATGAGTCCTACCCTCAGCGCAAAGCTGAAGACCAGAGTAGAATATCTCATGACTATATGTGCCCGTCTATTTTTGAGGGTACAAAGGGAAACCAAGCATGTTCGGGGGTCCCCTAAACAAAGGCACACCCATGTCGCACTGTCTGGCTGGATGGGCAGGGAACATCGGAATAGCCCAAAACCCAAAACCGAACTGCTCCCGAGATTTCCCTAAAGGGGATCCCCAACGGTTCATTCCCCAAACCCCTCGAAGGATACCTTACTGAGAACATTTAGGTTGCTCCCACTCCTCGGCCCGACCGCAGGGCCAGGGTACACCAAACAGTACAAATTCAGATTCAGCTTAATCATGTTGGAGCAACCCCCTGGTATCCCTTGGAACAGAAGGCTATAGATCCTTTAACCCATTGGGGCTGCTGTTGCAGAGGCACCTAGGGGCGCGGTGGTTCTTTGCAGACAAGCTTTGGTTGTCCAAACACCTTTTCCGCAGAGCCGCGTGTATAACATGCGCCACAGTCTCTCTATCACTCTTGGAAGAGCCTAATATGGAAGATCACCCCATCATTTGATTAAAATATTGCTTTTAAGGGTAGACTGGCAATCTGGGCAAATTGCTCCAAGCAAGTTCGTCATGGGTTTGAGCTCCTGTTCCAGCCCCGCAAGGTGGGAGCTATTTCCCGCAAATAACCCCACCTACATGTGTGCGTGTGTGTCTGTGTGTGTTTGCTTTTTGCGGTGTGTGTTTGCTTTTGGAGGGTACCCGTTTGGGGGTGGTTTAGAGGAAACCCAAGAGGAACAACACTACGGCACAAACACACGCACACACAGATACGCATAATATCTTAGCATCCAAACAGGGCTGTGATGTCCCCTCTTGACGAGTCAATCCTTTCAGCGGAGTTTCATTCGATACTCCTCATAAATGAGATGACTTGTTGAATTCATCTCAGAAATGGGACCTGCTTCATGAACATCCCCGGCTTTTTCGCGTGTGTGGCTTGCCTCCTGAATTTCCCGGAGCTTGCTTTTTTTTCAGCTTCCCAGTCTAGATCAAGAGCTCTCCCAATACGACAGCATGCTTTCTGGTGAAGTGAACGCTTCAGGAATCGAGTTCGACTGGGTTCCCAATCGTATCCATGACAGCCTGCAACTGGGGACCTTCAAAAGGAGTCCTGTGGCTAAGATGGCTCCACCTCCAAACCACCAAGGCAAACCGATGCATGCAAGTTCCAGAGCTACATAGAGTCGCCATATGCCCATTAAACCCCTTGGGGGTAGTGGTTTCGTGGTTTGGGGGTAGTGCAAACAATCTTGATTCTGGCAAGAGGACGGCAAGTCCCCCAACCGTCACACACCTGGTTTTGATTGTGATGTTCCCTCTTCTCTAGCTCTTTCAGGGCTCCCTAGCCCCGAACAAAATGACTTGTTTCCCCAAACAAATAAGGGCACTTGGGTATTTAGATGGGCCACCCCGTGCCCTCCTCAAACTCGGCAATCAACTACAAGTAATAAATAACACAGTGCCGATTTCTCGATGTGTCCCTTTAAGCAATAGCTGCCCAAGCCAGATTTGCACCCACTACTCGCCAACCTCAACATTTCGGAAGCCTGGGAACTTTGACGGGCAATCTCGTTTTACCCCCGATGTTGTTTTTGCCCGCAACAAAAAATGAGTTAAACCACCGGACAATTATGTGAGGTGTGTCTTGTTTTAGGATAGCCCTTTCTGGTGGTTTAAAAGGACAACCAAAGGAAAGGCACCTTCTCTTTTCTTTCTTTCGGGGAGGTCCCATACAACATTGACGAACCCATATCCCAGATCAACCAAGCTGACTACTTCAAGGCGTATTTGCACGAGTGAAGGATCCCCCCTCTGGGACAACCCCCAGGAGTACTCAACGTTTTCTGTGGCTTTTCATCAGACGCCCTATTCTCTCTAGCTCAAAAGGGACCTTTCAGGGATATGTGTTTTCTTTTTGTTTGGGGGGTGGCGGGGTGGGTGGGTGGGTGGACTAAGCTATCCCTTAAGTCTATGCCTCTCACAAGGCCTTGTCTTGAGGAAAAGCCTCCCAGGCCTGGTTTTAGTACCAAACATAGCCCCTCTCCATAGCCCTCCTTGGTCCACAGAAAACTTCAGCCGGACCGACGCATCCCGCGGCATGCCGTCCGGGCGAACTGCCCGCTTGCACTGCCCATGGGGTCGAGGCGAAAGAAACTCCGAAGATTCGCCAAACGACTCACGTGGCTGGGTTCAACGAAGTGCAATGCTTGTTTCAAGAAACCTGCTGGATTCAGCCGTGTAATATCCAATTAGTTTGATGAATGTAGACTATGTGTACACACATCATGCCTTAGGTTGCTTCGGCTCATGGAACAGCTCAGCTCGATGCATGTCCGTATGAGCTCATGTGAAGCATTGCCCGCATACGAGCTAGACATGGCAGCGCCATCCAAACATCAAACATTAAACATGAGCAAACCAACTGGGGTGGGTCCATTGAAGCAGTTCATCTTTCAAATTCCCTCCGAATGGTGGCTTGCAGGGTAACCATCGCAGTTGAAAAATAAGTTTGAGACAATCCAATGGTCACTGGAAAAGACCCAGGCCAGGGTGGAATTCCGGAACGTGGACAACGACAAGGACCCAAATCCTTGCGTACCTTTGGAAAGGCTTCTGGACTTCCATCCTGCGAGCAAACACTTTTTGCTGATGACTTGCCCAGACAAACCCGCCCCCCCCCCCCCCCCAAAGAGGGCAAAAGGGCCAAAGAAAGGTTGTGTAGTCTGGCAATGGCGAATGGGAAAACCATCGTTCTGGCGAAGGCCTGCAGGTATCCTCTCAAATCTTTGAAGGGCAACCTATCCACCCTCCTACTCAGGCAAAGTGTTGCATTCAGAAAGTCTACTAGTCCAACTAGAATGTTTCACAATATCACGCATACTTGTCACAACGCATCTTTGTAGTGAAAGACAGCTGTGCACCAATTCCCCAATCGACAGCAAGGTTTGGTCAGCTTTCGGAGACCCAAAGCAACCCTGTGGGAAGCTGCCTCGAAACGGGAGGGAACCCCAAATGAGTAATCTATAGTGGAACACCACCTTGGGGGAAACCACCAAAAGATTTTAACCCAGATAGTTCCATTCGACGAACCGTCAACCTGCCTTTGCCAACATGATACGTGTTCATGAGGGTGAAACTCAATACCCGCACCCCATGGGTTCAACCCACATTGAAGAATGGTTGAGCCAATGTAGATGGTGACAATCCATTAGGCAAGCACTTTCGGTTTGTTAACCCACTCCTATTCCTGTTACGCAGGTCGAGTGCTCAACACTCAGTTTTGCACCTGTGCGAGACTCAACTCCGTGCGTTCCGGGCGTCAGCGAGCCGAGTGGATCGTCGGAAAACGCCAGGCTGGTTTGGCGGATGTTCACTACGTCCCAAGCAAGTCCCATGCCAAGGTAATTCCTAGGTTTCCCACTTAGTCAAAAATGGAAACTCTGCTAAGCCCAAGCTTCATAAGAATGCTGATGAACCTTCCAACCCAATGAGGAGGCCCCCAAAAGTATGGAAAAGGATGAGTTGTGACTCTTCAAGTCAACTTGCGGAAAAGCAGTCCCAAACAAATCGGATAAAGGAATCTGCAGGCTTCGTCTGCTTCCCACTTAAACGTTGCAGGAGGAAACTCTTCCTCATCAGAATTCATGGCCAATTGGCTTGAAGGCGAAATATTTCAGCTGGACCCTGGACATCTCACAACAAACCCGGAGAGCTGTTTCAGCCCGACGGAGCCTCCCATCCGTGTGAGATGTAGCTACCAGGGCTCCCTGGATCTCTGCGTAAACCATTCACCAAATGGGTGGCTCGGGGACCACCAAAATGGCTTCGGTTTTCCTTTGGGGTGTCCTTTACCACAAAAACAAAATTCTCAAACAAGACACACCCAAATGGCCTGTCCAAATCGAGCGGTCGAAAGGAACTCTTCCGTGCTCATGCGAGCTTACAGTAAATTACACAACCACTTAGCTTGTGAAATCAACACCACTGTGTCTAACAACACACTTACAAGGCCTCACGGCGCCCCTGGTTTCCTTGCGGGAAAGACTACAATGTTTGCAGATGTTAGGACTAAATTCCATTTGGGAGTTTCCATGAATTGTCTGGGGTAAAACCAACTGTTAAAACTTGCTAAGGCGCATGTAGGAATCCCATGACCAACTAGACGCCATTCCCTAGGTTGGGCGGACGTCCCAAAATGGCAAATCTTTGTTGGGACGGTTAAAAGGAAACTGACCCACGGTTTTTGGGGCGTGCGTGCGGGCCCCAAAGACGAGATCTTGTAACCATTGTATACCCCACTCACCATGGTTCTAAGCTGCCTAAGTGGATTACAGCCATAAGCATTTAGCTGAAAGTCCGGTTTGCAATTTGTTGTTCTCAGTTGAATCCACGGCCACGAGGTAGAGGTCATTGCGGCGCTCACTTCTTCAGGAAGCTCTCGTAATAGTCGATCATATCCGGCGACTGGCGAGAATGTCGACCCATACAGTACCCAGAGCATCATTTGGGTAGGCGACAAAAGTATCGCCCCCAATTCCCGCAAATTTGGAGCCATCGGCATTCACAAGGATTTGGTTGGACTCCCCCACGTAAGGAACAGAACGTGCATGGGAGAGCTTGTTTGCCAAGAAATTGTTACTTGACCAGATTGGTGAAAGAGAGACATCCAACCAAATTCCCTGCTTGAGTGTTCAAGCCAAGTACTTTCAGCGGACTTCTCACATGGCTCGCGGTAAAATGAGCAACTATTGCGGGAAGCATCCAAACACCTTGAAGGGGGATTCCCAAGTCAAGGAGCTACAAGATCAACTAGGGAGGTAAAATGAGCTCCAGTTGGATTGTGTAGCCAGTAGCCTTTGAGGACCCGGCGTCTCCCGTTTGTCCCTTGATCATGGAGTCAGCTACCGGATTTAAGGTGGTCATCCGAGGGGTTTGGTCAACGTCCACTAAAAATAGGAGCCAAATGCGCTCTAGTGTCACCATTTTAGAAAAGATAAAAGAACCCTGATGGTGGGTCTCCTCGCGATTTTGCTTTGAAACCATTCTGTGTACCGTTCGCCTCAACAAAACTGCACATCTGTGTTGTGCAATCTGCTGAGTCCCTGAGCAGCACCACTGGAACCCAAAGCAAGCCACCCCTCCCCGGATTTCCTCCAAGCCACAACTTGAGGGTCTTATTTTGGTAGGGTTTGGGGGTGAAGAGAACTTGGTGCTAAATGGGCATTATTTGTACTTGGGGATCCTTTGGTGGACATCAAATAGGTGGGGATTTCTATCCACTCACCATTTGGAAGGATGTTCCCATTTGAATTCATAGCCACATATAGCCAAATAAGGAGTTGGGAAACAACACTAGTCTTCCCCTGTGGTTTCCTGCGGAATTCAACAAGTTTAGCACCCGGCATGCTCACTTCCGGAGTAGCCAGGCCTAAACAAGTAAGCAGTTGATTGTCTCCCACTAAAATGGTCCCGCCCCCAAAAGTGTAAAGTCCAGCAGTGACACAAGCCCGATCCCCAAACAAAAGCGGATAAACACACACCCCAAACAGGAAAACACAACCAAGGGTCACCTTGTCGGAACTGCTCAAACAACCCCTCCCCCCCCCCCCCGGGTCCCCTTTGAAGGGAACGAAAAGGAGGTAGTTCAAAACAAAAGGAACTCCACAACAACCAAAACGAATTCAAAAGAGCCGCTCTGCGCCTCCTTCAACGCGTGCCGGTTCTCACCCTTGCGGGCAGGGGGTCGGCTCTTCCGAGCGCTTTTGAGGCCGACAGGCCGAACCCAAAGCCCCGAAGAAGGGGCGGTTCACTTCGAAAGGAGTGGGTTGGCCTCAGAAAAGTTATTCAACTTGTTGTCTCCCCAACTCAGGAAGCAAGTCAAGTCTTTACAAAAGCGCTTTCAGTTGCCACAAAAGTCGGTACCAAGGATGCCCTACACAGAATCGTCGAAGTCACCGCCACTTGTGTGTGGCGAGGTTACCCCCCATGGAACGCAGTCCATCCACGAAGCCAAAAAGTCACTGCCAAAATTTCCCGCATGTAACGCACAATGATTTCAATGAAAATACGTTGCCAAGAATCCGCCAAGTTGCAAAACACACTGGAACGCAAGTCACTGCCACAGAAAAATATATAGTTTTTCAGCCCCGGAAAGCAAGCAAACCCCATGGAACGCAGTATGCAACAACTCACCCTAAACTTGGCGCCAGATTGCCGCAAAAGTGCGAAAGATGCATGGAACGCAAGTCTCAAGTAAAGTTAAAAAAATGTCTGCCAAGCTGGAAAGGAACCAACTAACTCGCATGGAATGGAACCCCTCGTGGTCCTTACCTCCGTGGAATGCAATGTGTTGGAAAGGGGCCAACCCGCATGGAACGGGGCCAGCCCGCATGGAACTCATCATGCGCCAATAAGCACAAACCAATAGAAGTGTTTGAAGAAGCCCACCCGCATGGGACTCATCATGCTGTGCGTACCCTTGCCACTTTGCTACCTTGCCTGAAACGCGACATCCCTGCGCGGAGCACTGTTTCACTTGGCCTTTGCCACCTTGGCAATCTTCAGCCCTTGGTTGGCTTTGGTTGCTAGGTACCAAGCATTGCGCCCCTTTGAGGTGCTGAGCAGACCTTGCTTGATCACCTTGCTCTGAAAAAGCTTGTACAACGGCCACGCTTTGCTGACCTGTGGCCGAAGCTGATTCCGAACATAAAAATCTGACAACGGTGCTACTTTCGCTTGCCACACCCACACAATTGATGACTTTTCGCTTGCCCAACTGCGCTGGAAATAAGTGAACTTCTTTTTGTTCCGGGGAACCAACAAAAACAACTAACGTTTAAAAGGTTGGCTTACGTCGGGCAGCTACACTGTGCTTTCTAACTACCACCAACCAAAACGAAGTAACCCAGTTGAAGAACACTTCCGACCAGAAACACACATGCACTCTAAAGCTGGAATCATACACCAACCATGACCATGTCCTTTGCAGCCTAGGTGGTTGTTCCAAAACAAATCAGGGCATGTTACTATGTTGTATACTGCAAACTAGCACATACTAGCGATTGGCAACTCACCAACTCAAGTCACCAGCTGATTGGCCA